GATAAGGAAACAGAAATGCGCGTTAGAAAGGAAATAGGCATGAGAAGGCACAATATAATATATCAAATTACATTTTGAGTCAGCGAGCGGAGAATGATCTTATATTATTAAAGCAAAAGCAACAACAGCATATAATTCAATGAGGTGTATATGTTTGTAATAAAAACAATTTCAATTTTTTTCTTAAAAGAATTAATCGATGGAGCATTTTTTATTTCACTACTTAATGAATTCCAAAACTTTGGACCTTCATATATAAATGTTTTTTGAGCTGAACAAATGTGACAATCTTTCTGTTGGACCAATATACAGTAGAAAGTATTTAATGTTATGTTCTTCCCGTGTTCTTCTCATATTTCATTTCAACACGTAAAATGAGGAAATAGAGGTTAACAACGTCGGATGGCAGAATTCGAGCGTGAACTAAATAGATTTGAATTACCTTATTCGTATCAAATGATATAAATATATCAATTCTTAATAGAGAGGAAGGAAAATCATGAGAATAAGAACGGATTATTGATACCGAGTCACAAAATCTCTAAATTTAGGCCCGAGTGAAGATTTTAGTACATATCTCACATGATAATATGTTGTGCCTTTGTGCAACGATCAAAGGAAAATGTTTCACTGTGTAGAAACAAAGCTCTATTTTTAAGTGATACTTCCCCCACAAAACCCAACGTGATATAGATCGGATAGGACTATACGTGACAAGACTATCTATGTTCCGAAATAATTTTTTGTTGTTGTAATATTGTCTTTTTATTGAATTTGGATATTATTATTATAGAAATTTTTGAAAACAAATGGTTTAGTTTCAAACACTCTTATATCTCTTACAGAAAGGAAATACATTAGGTAGTCGGAAAGAAAATATCAGTATTCAGGTTTGATCCGGTAAAATATCGCTCATGGAATAGTATTCACAACAAACTGACAGAAGATGGATCGAATTATTTGCAATCTTTCAGCGACCACAGCAATTATTGTTTCATTATCACTAAACTTTTCTCTGTTTTTACTTCTTACTTTTATTAGAAATGTTCTTCTCGTTCCTTCACGTATAACCCTTTCATTTTCACCTATGACTTTAAGTGTCTTGTAATATATTTAACCCTTTATATTTCTTCGTTCAATTTTTTCTTTCTCAATTCTTTTGGGAAACACTTTTCTTCCTCCTTTTAAGATCGATACCTTTTATTTCTGTTCCCATAATCACTTCAACGGTTTTACTAATCTCTCAAAATTCAATATCTAATTAATGGTGAAGAACTCGTGAAGGAATTAAACAGAGTCGTCGTTTGTCTATCGTATGTGAATCACATTCGAGTAGATCTATAGAGAGCACCATGATTCGTCAAATGTGTCATAAATAGGTCAAACTATTTATATCCGCTTGATACAGGGAACTTCCCGCGTTATAAAATAGGATAGGGGATGGGTAAGGGCTTACAAGGGTGGGAAGGGGGGGGGGCATCTGCAGGACCCAGATAAATGACTCTAGATTATCAGTATTTGGGCAAACGTCACTTTACATCCGGTCAACCTTTACCTCATATTCACGCAGTAAGGTGGCCTATAAATAATCTCACATCCCAAATGAATATATTTATACATTTCTTAATTACCTGGAATGATATTCTACCAAGAGAAGTTAGCCCCCCCCACACACACACACGCACATTGGCCAATGAGTTGTGGAAACATGCATTCAGGACAAACAGGCGGCGATCATGCTCAGTTTCACGTGCACTTTTAACAAGAAGATATTATGTTCTGATTGCAATTTAGATTTGGATTTTAGATCTGTCCCCTTAGCCTTTGTCAATAACCCATACCTGTATCGACTAGCCATTCAATATTTAGTCTTCATGTTTTCTCATTTGGTATAATCAGGGGGGTGAGTCTCTGATATAATATTACACTTCTCTACGATCAAATGGGGGATAAAAATCAACACACCCTTTGTGCACAGTAAATTTTGATTGAAGACAAAAATGTCCGCACTTTGAATAAGGACAGACTCGACGTAGAACGTGTTACGTAACTGGTCATTGGGCCAAATAATGGTCTTTCCTTGGAGTGTCCACTGAATAATCTGAAAGCATTTTACAAAGGACCGAAGTCCAGTGAAAGAAAAGTGTACCTTCTTTTGTTCTTTAAATGCATGGTTTCACAAGACAGTCACTCTCCGTTTTATAGACGCCCTTCTTATCTTCTCAATCGGTCCCACCCTATAGAGAGATACGTTGTGTTGAACTCGCGTACTTCGTGAGTTCTAAGTAGGAAGTGGCAGGTATTGATGCTCTCAAATGCATTGACAGATATCCTGCAAAGCATGCCGTAAGCACCTGGCCCAGACTCAAGAGAAACACCAACGATACAACTTAATCTTCGCTGAAAGACAACTGCAGTTAGGAAGATCAAACTCCGACACATTCTCGGCTCCTGCGCCTTGGATTTTAGAGTCCTGAAAATCTATGACGATCTTTAGAATCGTTGAACCCACTTTGAAATGCTCATCGCATAAGCTTGAAGACAAGTGGCGCTTCTACGGAAGAAGTGTGGAATGGTAGCATTGAGGAGCAATCCAGATTGACTAATGTGTTTTTTGGCCAGGGATTGTTGTCTGAATCGAAGGATATTATGGCGGGAATTTACGGGAATATATCGCGTCTGGCTTGGTTAATCGTCTGCGCGTTCCATATGATCTCATCAGTGCTCACACAAGGTAACATGTTTCTCTTATTGGTTAAAACTCAAGTGCACTTTCTTCAAGTATCGTTAATTTCTAAGGAATAGGCATAACTGTGAAGATGATATTTTCATTAGTCAAAATTAGTAATAAAACTCTGTTTTCTTAATGTTGAAAGAATAAACATGAGAAAAGAGGGATGATTTTCAATTTTCGATGAGTACAGAAACAGTACGATTGTATCATTTATGTCTGAGTAATTGTTTAGTACCAGATAATATTATTAATCACGCACTAAAAACACAAATTGTTGTCGTCATTCAATTCTGCCCTAAAAGTAAAGTGAACACAATATTAAAGAATGACTCTACACTGATTTAAAATCTGTCACTGTCAGTAGAAATTGAAGAAGGGACTAAAATGTTTTAAATTCTGCAGGATAAATGTATTACACCATTCCTTCTTTCCCAGTGTCATCAGCAAGCACTTACTAGAGCAGCCCCCACCCTTTAATATGCAGTTCAAAAGGGGGCTAGAACGAATGACACTAAGGCCAGAGTGGACAGTACACAGGAGAACTTTTTACTTGCACCACCACACTTTTCACTTACTAGATATTTAGAAGGACAGTTTCACCGCCACACCCCGCACACGGCACAAAGTACGAAGATACCGAGGCCGGTACTGAAGAAGAAGAAGAAGAAGAAGAAGAAGAAGAAGAAGAAGAAGAAGAAGAAGAAGAAGAAGAAGAAGAAGAAGAAGAAGAAGAAGAAGAAGAAGAAGAAGAAGAAGAAGAAGAAGAAGAAGAAGAAGAAGAAGAAGAAGAAGAAGAAGAAGAAGAAGAAGAAGAAGAAGAAGAAGAAGAAGAAGAAAAGAAGAAGAAGAAGAAGAAGAAGAAGAGGGTTTCAAATTTTTATTCTGGTTGTATGGCTATTTTTATTTGAAAGTTTGATTACCTATTTGTTGTGAGTAACATTTACAGACCACCCTGAAACCATGCGCGATCAACGTTCTATTCTTATCCTCCTGGTTGATCTGCATTTATTTCATATAATTCTGTTCCCTAATATGACTTGGTCACAAACGGCTAATCTCATTGGGTGTAAATCTCTCATCCAATCCGCACTAATCTGTGAAATGTCATGTTCAATTTCTCCTGTTTACCGTTTGAAATGCAGATCCCTGCGCTACCAGTCCTTGCCTGAGTGATGCTACATGTGTTGCTGTAACTCCCAATCAGTACTCGTGTGTTTGCCCTGCTGGCTTCACCGGTAGCACATGCACCCTAGGTAAGCTTACTGATTACCATTTGGTCCAAAGCCATTTGGTCCAATTCCCAGATTGTCTAACTTCATGTAGTCTTCTCTCAGTTGGCCACTATAGGCCTACACCACTGATCCAATTTACATTTCGTCTAATCATCATTTAGACTAACAACCAGTGTAGCAAACAATGCGTAACATCATAAGTTTGGAGGTGTGGTCACAAAAGGCCAAATTCAGTAAAAAATATAGTCGTAAAGACTTTCAAGAAATCAACTTAGGCAATCGTTTTTTTACAACCTGGTATATTGTAGAAATCATGCACGAATTGCATATGTCTACCCGAAATTGACTACTTCATAGGGAAATATACGGTCTTCATGTTGATCTACCATGTCTAGAATGACACAATCATGGTGATTGCATCCCGATATAATATAACGCTAATTAGACATGTGATTACATCCAGTTGCTCATCCACAATTAATAATTAATGATTCATTATCTATTCCGGTGATTTGACCTCAAGAGGCAAAAACATTGACCGGGGAGGAGGTGAGAGTCTTGAAGGCATTGTAGGGGCTGTGATAAGGACATGGCCACACAGTTACTCAGCAAGATCAGAATCCAAATGTATCTTGCCCCTCGGTCAAGGTTACATTAAATTGTGAACTTTAGTACTCTTCTTTTTAAAATTAATCTTTCTGGATCTTCCTTTCCTTGGTTATTTTGAGATGCACATTTGCTTGTTCTGATTTCCTGTTTGACGTATCTAATGTTTTTCTTGTAAGTCGGCATCCTACATGCCTGTAACCACAAATCACTCAGGATTATGTTCAGGCAACATGACTGTCATATGAAGCTAAACAGGTACCACGAAATTACTACATAGTCCGCAAATGATCCACAATACCGAACAACTTTCACATTACTTTCCATGTCTCAAAAATCTCAAATCTACAGTTACAAATAAAAAAGGAAAATGCTTCTGTTAAACGTGATTTTAATGAAGAAAATTCACAGCTTTTTGTAAATAAAATTATGAATGTATGTTGGTCTGTTGAAAATCATGATGCTAATGAAGCCTATAATGATTTTTTGCAAAAGTTTTTAAACATTTATGAGTCATGCTTTCCAATTAAAAAGTCAGTTAAAAAGAAATTCAAAAATAAATCATGGTTTAATAAACCACTACGTAAGCTCTGTAATAAAAAATGTTACTTATACAGACGATATGTTAAAAAACCAACTCCAGAAAGACATGAAAAATACAAGAATTTCAGAAATAAGATAACTGAAGAAATTAAAGAAACAAAGAGAGCATATTTTAAAGGTAAATTTCAAAATGCTGCAGGTGATATGAAAAACACATGGAAAATAATCAATGGAGTACTGGGTAGGGGTGTAAAGAAGAAGGTGCTACCAAGTTCAATTCAGTGCAATGATGCAATGATAAATGAGACAGCAGCAATGTGTAATGCTTTTAACAAATACTTTGTAAATATAGGCCATACACTGTCTTCTTCTTTTGTAAATTCTGGGGACTGTATGCAACATGTAATAAAAAATAATTCATCTGCATTTTTTACTCCGTGTACACCAAAAGAAGTTATTAATATTGTTTCTAAACTTAAAAATGGCAAGAGTCCTGGTTTTGATGGAGTGGATATCACATTGGTTAAAAATGTTATTCATATTTTATGTTACCCTTTATGTGATATTATCAATTTATCTTTAAATACTGGTGTTGTCCCAGACAAACTTAAAATTGCAAAGGTTATTCCTATTTATAAAAATGGATCAAATGATAATTTATCAAATTATAGGCCCATATCTATTCTTCCTATTTTTTCAAAGATTTTAGAGAAATGTGTATATAGTCGTGTATATAAATTCTTGGAAAAGTGCGATATTATTACTCCCAAACAATTTGGTTTTCGAGCGGGACACTCTACTTCTTCTGCCATCACTGATTTTATTCATAAAGTTACAAATGCCTTTGATAATAAAGAAATAATGATTGGCCTGTTTTTAGATCTTAGCAAGGCTTTTGATTCTCTTGATCACTCAATATTATTAAAAAAATTGGAATGTTATGGTTTTAGAGGTATTGTACTGGAATGGTTCAAAAGTTATTTAAGTAATCGCAAACAATATGTTGTTCTAGAAAAATGTGAATCACAGACAATGGCGATAAGATGTGGAGTGCCCCAGGGCTCAATTCTTGGGCCATTATTATTTCTTTTATATGTAAATGATATTTGCAATGTTTCAAAAGTGCTAGAACTGATATTATTTGCAGATGACACTAGTGTGTTTATGTCCCATCAAGATATTGTATCTCTTCAAAATATTTTTAATACAGAATTTGCTAAACTGGTTGATTGGTTATATATAAATAAACTTGTAATCAATATTAAAAAAACACACTTCATGATTTTTACTAAAAAACACATTGATGTTACCCAAATAAAGGTTAAAGTTAAGGAATCAGTTATTGAACACGTTACGCATTTAACGTTTTTAGGGGTCACAATAGACGATAAATTAAATTGGAAGGAACACACTGGTGTCGTCTGCAATAGATTGGCTAAACATGTTGGTATATTTTATAAATTGAAATTTTTACCTAAAGAAATATTGATAATTTTGTATAATACATTAATATTACCCCACTTAAATTATTGTATTCTTGTATGGGCATGCTCTAGTATGCAAAATACAAATAGGCTTTTAGTTTTACAAAAGAAAATTATAAGAATTATATCGCACAGCCAATACCTTGCTCATACTTTACCTCTTTTTTACAACCTAAAGTTTTTAAAAGTAAACGATATTTATGTTTATCAATGTGCAATTTTTATGTATCTATGCTTTAAAAAACTTTTACCAAATACTATTTTACAATATTTTCAACTTAATAAGAATATTCATGGCCACCAGACCAGGATTTTAAATAATTTTCATATTCCAGGAGTAAGGACACTAGTTTCCCAAAATACAATTTTTTTCAGGGGTCCAAAAATTTGGAATGACATACCCATAGATATTCGACTGAGTCCATCACTAAATAGTTTTAAAAGAAAATTTAAACTGTACTTGTTAAGACAATACTCAATAGTGCAATAACCTATATTCTTAATGTTCATCAGACAGAAAAGTGTGTGTTTGTGTGTTTGGGAGAGAGTGTATGTGTGAATGCAATTTTTTATTTCCCCTTTTTTTTTACTTACTTTTTATAACAAATACAAAATTTAAATAATGTACTTAGTTTTTTATACAATTACTGGAGACAGACTTTTATATAAGGCCCAGCCTTCCTGTCTAGTCTCCAAATACTTTCATTAATGTACATGTTTAAAATGTTTTTCCCTTGTCCATCATGTCTTCTCCACTTGTGTTATCCTCACGTTATATATTGATACATGTATTATATTCTAACTTTTATATGTTTGTTTTCCTTGTATATTTTTAATGAAAGTATTGAATAAAGTGAACTTGAACTTGAATGTCACTGGTTCGGACCTCCGGATCTTTAAGAATTTTCATATGTTAATGATGATGATGATTATATCTAAATGTTTATGGCCCGTATTCTACTAAAGATTTAAAGCCCTGCTGTACTACTTGTAACTTCTTGCTACCTCTATATAGAAAACAAATAATCGGTGACCATTGATCCCTCATGATGCTCTTTTTCTTATGTTAATTGAGAGCTGAGTTGATGAGATAGCCACCTGTCATTGACCACCATGGGTGGTCTAATCCCTCCTAGCCAAACTAGTACAGATGACCTTTAAACCCTCCGCTGAGCCTAAGTTTTTTCTTCAAAATCGAGTTTCCAAAGGAGGTTAGTTTGAGGTATAAATTTTCCGTTTGTTAAACTTATACACAGTGTCGAGGATTAACTGAATAAATATAGTACGGACCATAATCTGCTTTAGCTTTAGATTGTTCTGTGCATTCTACTATTTATCTATTTATTTATTTTTTCTTCTTCATATTTTTCCTCCAACAGACACACCTTGTTTTCCAAACCCATGTCAGAATGGCGCTGGATGCATCAATCGAATAGACACCTTTCAGTGCGCCTGTTCCCCGGGCTACTCTGGACAGCTCTGTGAGATCGTTGGTAAGTAGTGGTGCAGGGCGATGATGACGACGACGACGTCAATGATGACGGTAGTGAGAATGATTAGTGATTATAATGAATGCAATATTGAAGGCAACTGCAATGCTTTAATGATCGGTACAGAACTTGGATTATTAACGTCGACGTTGTAAATATTTGTGATTGTCCTACATGATGTTGATGATGATGACGACGATGATGATGGAGGCGATGACGACGATGACGATAGCAATGATGACATAATAGAATGTGAGCATGATGATTACGATGACAAATATTTTATTATGATGACAGTCTGCTTATTTCAGCTATATTTGTACATTTAGATACCTTATATTGTGTACCTCAGATATTAGCAATACTATTTGTGCTATTTGAGTATAAAATCCACTAAAAGCTCGAATATAAAAACACAGAGACATAATCACCAATGATTTATGGAAATAGCATGCAAGAAATATTTGATCGATTTCCCGCAAAGAAGACCTAAATGCTGAGGTTACATACGGTATCGTATACAACGCTATTGAATCCACTTCATCATGAACCTTTGAATATAGCAACGTTATTAGCCCAACAGCTGAAACTGGGAAGACTTCTGCCAAAATATCCCATTTCCTCCAAAATTACTCAATAACCAGCGCACGATCATAGCGTAAAATTATTAGTAATCTCGGAGTTTTTCCCCCTTCACAGTTTCACCTTACAAGACGTAACAAGTCAGGTGATGTGTGAAGGAACATGACCTTCCGAAGATTTCTCAGAGCACAGTTTGTCTCTATTTTAAGATTTAGTTTGGTGCTATAACGGGTCCAGGGGGTACAGGGCCACGTGCCCCAGTGTAGGTTTTTGGGGGAATGTTCTTTACTACCCCACCCCAGCAAGTCTGGGAGCACTTCAGTAAATTGTCACCAATTGCGTGACTGCTAAAGCATGTGTGTGCTACTATGCTAATCAACTAGGGGACCTACGTCCTTAAATCAAAACTGACAGTAATGGGGATTAATGCCTCATAAAAGGGCACTAATATAGCACATCAACACGGTTTTGATCCTGGGGGCTCACAGTAATGAGGCCTTTGCTTAGCCAATGAATCATGACTGTACGCAGCGGGCGCTAGGGTACGTCGACGCCCCCACAAAAAAAAACACAAAGAAAATGCAATAAGTTTTCAATAATTCATTGCATTTCCCCCAGTCCCCAACAGGAAAAATTCCTCTGTAGGGCCATGCATTATTGATCAAGGCATACCCACATAGAAGATTTTGTTATGTTGAGGGTCGGGACAAAATGCAATGAATTATTGCAAATTTATTGCGTTTTCTTTGTTTTTTTTTTGTTTTTGTGGGGGCATCGACGGGCCCTAGCGCCCGCTGCGTACAGTCATGATTTATTGGCTAAGCAATGGCCTCGTTACTGTGAGTCCCCATGATCAAAACCGTGTCGATGTGCTATCTTAGTGCCCTTTTATGAGGCATTAATCCCCATTACTGTCAGTTATGACTTAAGGACGTAGGTCCCCTAGTTGATTAGCATAGTAGCACACATATTCTTTAGCAGTCACGCAAAACAAACACTCCCCAATTGTCATTCAATAAAATCTGAGAATGTATACTATTATCTAGATCTGTTAGGAATAAACCATTGTCAAAATCATTCAATAAATTGGGGTAAAAATAATTATTCCACCATTGTGACCAACAGTGTACATCACCCACCCCCCCCCCCCCACCCCCGGTGTCTCGATCTTACTATGAGCATCCAATTTATGTTTTCGACATCAACGTTTATCTTTCCTAGCTAATTCTTGTGTTCGAGGACCATGTAAGAATGGTGGTGCATGTATAGCTGATGGAGCTGATTTCGTTTGTAGGTGTGCTTTCGGCTGGATGGGGGAGACTTGTGAAGAGCGTGAGTAAAGCCCCTAAATACTCCTTAGTTTGTACAATCTTTCTCATTTTACCTTGTAAATACTCCATACGTAAAAAACGTTCTCAATTTAGTTTTTGAATATTCGTTACTTAAAGGTGAAATTCAAAGAAGATCAAAAATATGTCAACTAATGTATCACTAGAAACTGGTAAGCTAACAGATGGCCATCGGACAAGTTTTAGGTGAACTACATATCGGGTGATTTATAAAAAAATAAAAATACAACCACCTCCATAGCAGCTGGGATATACGAGAGATTCGCCGGAAAAATAACGATGTTTTAATGACGTCACTATATGGACCAACACTGCCCAAGCAGACGACATCCCATAGAGAATTAACATAATTTCAAAGCTATTATTTCTCAAATTATAATGAGTTTAGTGTATATAAATGTAATGGCATGTCAAACCATTCAAAAGGGGATATGACCCGATTCTGATAACTAAAATCTTTTGCTTGTAAATACACAGGATAGGGGTTAATTAACAATCAAAGAAACCAGACTTTCAAATTGAAAAGCCCCGGAATGATATTAAGGAATTTTGTTCCCTCTTAAACTGCCGAACATACCCCGGTGTGTGCAGCTGAATATACAATGGCGTCTTATTTTGTTTACAAGCAACAGATTCCTTTATTTTTGTGTCGCTGCATTTGTCATCAAAATAAAACCATGCGCGGGGTTTAGAGTGAGGCAATAGATTATACATTTAGCCTGACGGTAGTGAAGTAAGAGAAAGAACTCAAGAGAAGATGAAAACATAGGCACTGAAAATGTGTGAGATGTCATGGGACATCGTCTGCTTGTGCAAGTCAAGTCCATACTGTGATCTCACACATCTCAGCAGCGTTCGGAGAGCTCTTCAGGTGCTATGCCGGGGCTGTATTTAAGCGTTTTGTAATTTATAATAATCATTACTTCGAATGTTTCCAAGCATTGAAATTTGATAAACTTGTCGAATCAAAGTTTCAACTTTGCAATAATGAAAATAAAGTTAGTTTTTAAAATCAATAAATATCTACTTTAAGTCTTTCTCAATTTAAGCGTTATGATCTTTCTTCAAAAGTTCATCGTATAGAAAAGTTAACTTATGACACACACTAAGTCTGATGTATTATAAATAAAGCACACTGGTAAATCTTAGGTCTGCATCCACAAGAGAGAGACGGGGAAATGTACGCAACTGTTTTTTTTAGCTTGTTTGTATGGTTGCGTAAGTCCGTATTTTCTTTTCAAATAATGCACTTTGCATACGAACTACAGTATTGTATAAACATGACAAATAAAGACATAACTTGGAAAGTAATTGGGGACGAATATATAAAGCTATAGTTTACATTAAAATTTGTAACACTTCTCTACATGTATTTTCTTGATCTGATTATTATTCATAGGTATTCCGCCCCCCTTTTGTTTTCCTCTCTCTCTCTCTCCCTCCCCCTCCACCCCTCTCTCTCTCTCTCTCTCTCTCCTTCTTTCTTTCTCTTTCTTTCTCTTTCTTTCTCTCTCTTTTTATCTCTCTCTATTTATCTATCTTCCTGTCTATCTACGTATCTTTTAAAAAAAAGTCTTTTTGTCGTCTCTATGTCTCTCATTCTCTTTCTCTTCCTTTTCTATTTGTTTCTGTCAAATGCATTCATATGATTATTACATTTTGATTAAATTCTACATTGCAGCCGATTCCTGTAACAGCCAGCCGTGTTTGAATGGCGGTACATGTATTACGGCCCTAGGAGGGTTGTTACATCACTGTCAATGTCGTACAGGCTTCACTGGTAGTGAATGTGAAATTAGTAAGTCAATCATCTAAATCATTCCTCTGTCATTATACCAAAGGATAATTATGAATTATGTGTTCTAGTATAAAGTTATGATAATTATTTGTATAAAGTTCCATGTTAATTTATAAGGCAATGTTTCTCTACGACTCTATTCCCTCCTTGCCCTACATAAAATTAATGTCGTGACAATTTGTGTTCACTCTACATGTTCTAATGAGACATTTTGATATTGGAATTAAGTAAAATAATCATAAGCAAGTATGTACATTTATTTTACACTTGAATGTGAATGTAGAGCGTTGATTAAATGACAATAAATAATTAAGCCTTCTCTTGAAGGAGCTATAGTATTCCAATGGGATTTAATAACAATGTAGCTTAAGGAAGTATAACGATGTATTTTTTATGTTTGCATTCGAATTCGTATATCAATATTTTTTTTGCATCTGATGGTGCAAATGTTTTTATACTAAATAATTGCTTAGCAACCATGGAATGTAATGACAAGTACAAGTTATTTTCAAGGTCATGTGGTAGCATATCAGAATGCATGGTCTTTATAAACAGTTTGCTGACCGATGACTCACATAGTTATTTTGGTCGCTCTATATTTCCAATTCCCCGGCCAAGTAAATAGTCGATAAGAATTTGTTTAATTAAGGAAACCGGGGACAGGTGGCAATACGATGTGAGGAGAAGAGAACAAATTAAGGAGGAATAAGATAAAGAAGGGGATGAAAATATGCAGGTAGAAAATTACATGGCTCATGATTATGAATATTCTATTAAAACCTTACCTGTAACGTATCGCAAAGATGCGAGAGCATAAAACAGAAAATTTTTGATGATTGTTTTTTTCTTGGGCAAGGTGCATGGAACTTGCCAAACTCCATCTTTATGAAGCATATTAATAAATTGATAATTTTCTAAAAGAGACTTGGAACTACTTTCAAACTCAATATAGTTTACTTGAGTCTCCAAGGACTCTTATTCATGTGTCATTCTTTGGTTTATAATTTTCCTTTCACTTGCTTGTTTGCTGCTTGTTTCCCGCCCAAACGTCTACCCATTACCTCCCACAACCTAGATATGATCCCCTGCATCAGCGATCCTTGCATGAACGGCGGTGTGTGCCTACAGCCTCAAAATACCTATGACTACAGGTGTTTTTGTGAGGGCGATTTTACCGGAATCAATTGCGAGTTCAGTGAGTGATAACACGCCAAAGGTTTTGCCATATCATCATTGTTGTCGTCTAGAAGCTAATCCGGTTTTCATGGCGTTGGCGTGCTTTGTTGTGCCTTCTAATATATTTGTCATGTAACATAATTTGTTAACCATTTCAAAGTGTTTCTACATCCCGTCTTCGTCTGTTTTCCGCATGGTCCATTATTCATTTTTGAATGCTTAATACTGTGCAATTCTTTAGCCTTGTTCCACTTTTACTGTTTTCCTCGTTTATATTCTTTGTATGCGTATTTACTTGTTGTTCGATTTTTGTTCATCATCGTATTAACCATTTTGTAAAATTTACTCATATTCCATCATGACTTAAATGCTATCATCATTTACTCTCATAATGTCAGATTGTGCATCTTCAGTATCAACGTTTATAGCATTCTAATATATATATTTTCAGACAGATACATCTACATAGCTTTATCTATTATGTTACAGTCTAACCTGTCTATAGCAACTGCCCAAGGGAAACACAAAAAGTGGCCTTTGTAGACAGGTTCCTTTAGAACATGTTTTAAGGAGAAAAGATTTTCAAGGGAAACAAAAAATTTGGTCTTTCTAGACAGGTGGTCACTAAAGCAAGTTTGACTGTATATCCATATCATGTTAATGGGGCTGTGTTTTTTACTTTAAAAATATGTGACAAGCAATGGTTTTCAGTGAGTCATTTTGGGCAGATTGACAGATCCAAAATCATCAGGGCATGCATATGTGATATTATGCACCCCCCCCCCCGCATTTCCTAATGTATTACAGTCGGAAATGGCGTTTCCATAGATTGAAAGTGGCTCAATCCTGTAACATGTCGAAGGAGGTGGGAGGGGCGGGATGTATCAGGACCCTGTTTCATAAAACTTTATATCAATAACAAGTTACAAGCTACTGTTATAATCTACTGAAATCATGGCATCTGATTGGCTGAGAGCAAATTTGTCATAAAAATTTAGCAATTGTTTTTTATAAAAAAAGTTTTATGAAACGGGCCCCTGGTCAGCCCAACGTAGCCGTAGACATGTTAGACCCATTTGAAGTTATGTTGAAACCCCCCCTGGACTTTCTAGGGGTTGGGGAGTGGGCTTACGCCAGCTGCATAATTATGCCGCTGGTTAGTTTACGCTGATGAACGTAGAATTTTATTTTCAAAAGGGTGAATTGTAAATCGTAATTGTCTCTCTTGTTTGTCTACTGGTTGAATCAAATTTGAGGTGTGAATATTTCACCCTTCCTGTTGGTAGACAGGGTGTGCGTGGGGGGGGGGGGGGAGGCGATTATGCCATGTTGTCACGGGAATGACTGTCAAAATTCACCAGTAGACCGGAGACAAAATATCCTGTCTTTACGAAATCGGTGACAGGTTAAAGGGTCAATACCAACTTGAGGGTCAAACTGACTGGGGGCAAAGACATAGCTGGTCGCTGCCAGATGTGTGTTGCGTTGAAAACAGGAGAGGATTCTAGTCCATCCCCTTTCTTCCTTCACATAAACTTACCATGGACATTGTCATCACATTTACTCATCTCCATTCATGCTAACAATTCTCAACATTGTATCACAATATTATTCTCTCTGTGATGTATTTTACTTTAATAAGGGCGCGTCAAAAATAAAGGGACATTTGAGGGAACTGTTTAATTTATTAAAAATTATGTGAACTAAAGTAATACATGAATACATATCTGCTATTTTTAGAACATTTCCTTTATCCGGATAGGTTAATTAAAAGATATTAGAACAAGGCAAATGTGCATGTTTACTGATTCGGTTTTTATTATATAGACTATGTCACATTGTAGTGTCAGTTATTCTGTTAGTGTCGATTAAGTAAATTGCAAATGTAGATATTTGCCTTATGTATTTGATATAAAATTCTCTTAATCATATAATATACATGTTCTACATATAAAATGATATTTTGTTAACAGTAGGCCTATTCGTGCAAATGCACTTCTTGTACCTGGTCTTAAACCAGTAGATTGGCACTTGTGGCTTTTTCTCTCATGCATTACCCATCTAACATGATTACAAATATCTGTATGTTCGGCGACTTCACGTCAACATAAATATCTGTCTTTCTTTAGCCTTCAAGTCATTTTTAGCTCGTCACGAGTCACTGTGTGTCTCATCCAAATTTTTTACAACAACGAAGTTGTACCTTCTTCCTTCACGTATTAAAATATAAATAACTTTTGTGTTATTCATGTCGATGTTAGTATCACTCGTTCCACACATGTTGCAATACTTTGGTGAGACTTAGAAATTATCATAACAAATCCCCTTAAATTCGTTCCGTATGTTTCTCGTCTTCTTCGTCATGGTTTCCTTTCCTTCCAATCGTATCTCTCTTTGTTTACTGTCCAGGAATAAACCCGTGTTTGAGCAACCCTTGCCAGAACAGAGCTTCGTGTTTTAGTCGACAAGATAGAACTGGTTATATCTGTAACTGTGCCGATGGATTTGAAGGGATTTTCTGCGAAAACCGTAGGTTACCCGATACCATACGATTTATCTATGATAATTTTCTATGGATACAATGTAGATAGACCGTTTACAAGAAACACTCTCTAATAGATTGTGCCTTCAGATGAAATCATGATGCATATATCACATCGACAAGTCTGTGGAAAGGGAGTGTTGAAGTGCTTATAAAGAATATCACAAAAAGAGTAAAACATAATTTTTAAAGAACAATCTCTATAATTAGTGTCCGGGATTCTTGCAATGAGACCTAAGTCGATAGACAATTATTTATCTTGTAATACCACTTGAATAGGTTAGATGCCAGTTTTTATTGCCACGCAAGGTATTGAGTGAGGAAATGTTTGAAAGAAATTTAACATTTATATTTTTACAGTTTGCAGATGTCTATATTTTTGTATTCGTTATTGTGTTTTAAAATAACGCCTCACTTATAGAACTATTTCGAGTATATTCATAGGTTTTCATCCTCCTGTTCTTAATGCAGGTACCCCAGCATGTAGTGTCAATGCCTGTCAGAATGGAGCGACTTGTATGGAAATTAACGTGAATACTTACAACTGCACATGTCCAAATAACTACTACGGAAGTCGCTGTGAAATAGGTAAAGAATAGATCTTCGCCAATATGATTTGTAATGACACATTGAAAAGAATTATGTGATGCAATAAGAAAGCAATGAAAAACCGAGTGAGTGCAGTGGTTGTGATGTGTTAACGCTTTGGCAGTGTTCCACTCATTCGCTGTGGTTACAAAGGGGTGCGTATACATACACTTGGAAAACAGTGTAAATACAATGCTATGTTCGCATTGCACATTAATATGATAGTGTTCCAAGTCATATGAACATGGCATAATATCGGCTCATGTATTATGCACAATTCTAGCTCTCATTCGAGCAAATAATTTTGAATTTCCGTTAATTTCAAACAATGTATAGTAATAGTAACTATATCCAATACAATATGATCTTTTCCCTCGGTAGTTAGAGCATTTCAGAAAGCTTTTAATTTTCAATTATTTCTTTACAAATCCAGCCTGAATATCACTCTCCGTATATTTTTCATTTCAACGTCGTATCTTTCCACATTGAGTTTTTTGTTATATTTAAATTATCGTAAACTTTGTATTTTGTATTTGTAGCTGGTGCGTGTGTCACTAATAACGATTGCAGAAACGGAGCGACCTGTGTTGGAGGACCCAACCCTTCTGATCAATCGTGTCTGTGCAGGCCGTATTACAATGGTGAACGGTGTGAACTTGGTGGGTATACACAGCCTTTCATTCTCCTTAATCCAACTATATTTTGAAAGAAATGTTAACCTGAACAATTTGGTTGACATTTGTGATATTCATTCATCTTTAATAAATGAAATATCTCAGGAATTTGATGCACTTTGTTTTAATATGGTCGATAAGAATCTACTCTTCCAATATGAATATCATTTAGTAAATTCTGAACAAGCATGACTCAACAAATTAATTTGTATCGATGAGGAAATTTTACATAATCATCACTCTTCCTTCATAAGGCCTACAGATGACAACTTACTCTATTTATTCAGTAGATACCTAAGGCGTTCAATATTAATGTCACAACCGTGAATGATTCAGCGAACACAGTAGAATCAAACATGTTACAAGCACATTTCCCTTCTTCATGTTCTTACTTGGTTTTCCCTTATCCCTTCAAAATATTAGTCTATCTACATGCACATATGGCAAGGATTGTTTTGAGGCCTACATCTTAGAAATATATCGTTTGTTCTTTAACATCTTATACAGATGAACGCAGTCCATGTTTGAGTGACCCGTGTATGAATAACGGATCATGTTATAGTTCAGATCCCTCGAGATTTGTATGTACATGCCCTGTTGGATATGAAGGCCCACATTGTGAAACAGGTGAGTAACCAGAGTAGAATAATGATGATGACGACGACGATGACGATGATGATGATGATGATGATAATGATGACTATGATGTTGATGGTGATGTTGATATGGATGATGGTGGCAATGATGATGGTGATCATAATAATGGTGATCATGATGATGTTGATGAGGATGATGTCAGGATGATAATGGTGATGATAATGATGATCATGACCATGGACATGGCCACGATAGCGGTGACGATGATGATGATGATGGTGGTGATGGTGATTGCGATGGGATGATGATGATTGTAATGATGCTGGTGATGATAATGATGATGATGGTGATGATGACTTATCATTATGAGCTTGCTGATGAGGATCATGAAGATGGTACTGACGATGACGGTAAAGATGACTCTGGTTATGATGGGGATGATGATAATTGTGCTCGAAGGAAGATAATGGTAATGATCTAATGACAACGATGACGATGAATATGATAGATTTTAAGGATGATCTTCAAGATTAGTCACTGTCGAACGAAAATATAACCGATTTACTGGTTAATTTATATGAAAATTTGCCTAGACGATAATACATGTGTACCTCCCCTAAATGTTCATACTGAATATGTCAAAAGTAAAATAATATGCCTTTATAGTTGTAATAACTAAATGGTATTGTCACCTAAAATTAGTAATTTTGCAGTATACCCTCTTAAATTTGGTGAAGCCATCGCCGTCATTTTCTATATCCGGTTAGAGAACTACGATAAATAGTAGTCCGTGATTTCATACGACGCCTACAAGCCATGTCTTAAAAAATACATTCACATGTATACTACATTTCCTTGTGCACGAGGCCCGAAGACTTAATCCAATTGGCTAGGAATGTCTTAGTGAATTAGAGAAAGTTAAGTGGACAGTAGTTGAAGTGTGAAATCGGGTTCTTACTAGGATTAGGTGTCGAGACATGTCGAATCTAATTTGGATCACAAGGTAATTAGAAAGAGTAGAACAAAATAGATTCATGGAGAGGAGCAGAGGGGCTTCCGGGGGTTTCCCGCTAACGCTTTCCAGACGTGCCAGATTTCATTTTTGTTTGTTTAGGGTGTATCGTAAATATGTATTTGTCTTATTGATTCTCATTAGGAATCAATGCAATGTATGCACATTGTTCTTCTTCTTTGGCTTGTTTTGTACTAGTTCTTCTTTTTCTTCTTCTTTTTCTTCTTCTTTTTCTTCTTCTTCTTCTTCTTCTTCTTCCCTCCCCTCTCTTTCTCTCTCTCTCTCTCTCTGTACCCCTCTGCCCCCTCTCTCTTGCTCTCTCACTCTCTTTCTTCCTCCTCACCCCTCTCATCCCTTCTCCCTCTCCCCCTCTCTCTCTCTCTTTCTCTCTCTCTCTCTCTCTCTCTCTCTTCCCCCTCTTTGTTTCGGTGAGTTAATTATTTTCTTTGCAATATTTTGTTCTCTTCTCATAATAATATATAGGCCTATCTCTCCCTTTATCACATTGTTTTCTTTAAATCTTTCTGTGTGAAATTCTCAATTAATCTCCGTTAAAAATAATTATAGTATTCAGTGGTGCGTTAAATATGGTCCTCGAAGGTATTTCACCACCTGGGTCACGCGCGCCGGTAGCAATTATTTTGTATAATTATCCGTTATTATAACACCTGTGTCATGCAATCGGGTGCTAATAAGCACACTTCCGCTATCACTGTGGATGGGTTAGAGGAAGGGGTTAATTGCGATCCACTCGCATAACGGATGTCGTGAAAACACCTTCTTTTGGCGAATGGCTCAACCAATGAATGTAAAGGGGTCATATTCACACAGTTCTGGGTCAGATGATGTAATCGGTCCAAATTCGACACGTAAGAATCTTGTTAGTTGTCGGTCATAATCAATAGATTTTGCCTCCAACATTTTGTTTGTTCGATATGTCTCGGTGTCATGCAGTGGTAAGCGTTATGAACGTAATAAGTATGTAATAAGTATCTATATGATTCTTTTGCAAACATTCCTCTAAATTTAAACGTATGGACTTAAAATATTAATCGCTAATATCTCATGTGGTATAATGCAGCTGCGGTTATTTTCAGGCATCTTTAATGTTACTTTATATGTAATATTGAAAAAATGTAAACCAAAGAAAGGATAACGTTACATTTGACAATTTTAGAATATGAGTAAATACAAATAATGGCTATTTTTTTCAGCTGAACCGACGAAACCCAATTTGATGAAATGATTTACCACCAAGTTGTTAACAGGAAGCACATTGGAATAGCCAGTCTTACATTGTAAATTTTCCCTTTTCATTGGCGTACATGAACTATTCCGCCCGGAGTGACTTTCTTAATATGTATCAAAAATTGTAACACATCTAATTTTTGAGTGCATTGTATTTATGCGTATTTTCATTATGGAAATACTACCAGATGAGATATTAATATTTAAAAGGGACCTCTCTGCCAAATAATAAGATGACGGTTGCCCTAACGGTAATATTTGAAGCTTCAGAATGATGCGATCTACAGCCAGTGTAGCCCCAGCCCCCCCCCCTCCACCCGCCCCCTAGTCGTGGGTATTTGGTAGTTACCCTCATTTATGGGCTACTCGCACTCTAACAAGCGATTGAAACTTTTGAGCTTAAAATACTCTTGAGGCATAACGACGGATATCCGTTAATGTTCAAGATGCCTTCAGCAAAGGATTTTTCTTTCGTTTAAAACTCCCATTCCTACGACAAATGCGCTCTTCCCTTCAAAATACGATCAATCGTCGTATTATGCTGCCACTGAACTTTAACTTCAACCATGGAGTTACTGGTTAGTAACTCCATGCTTCAACAGATCAGGGGATGTTTGAGAAGCGTGCCTGGCATACATGGGAAGCAGCAATTTACTGTTCTTGCTCGTCTCTGAACTATCTATATATGTGTTAAAATATGTTGCGGAATTATAATCAACGCTTGTAGATATTATTAGCACTGGCAGAATCGGGCACCTTGTTCTCTTTAAGCAATGAGATTCAGAATAAGCTTTTTAGACTCCTGTCGTTGGGTAGGGATTAATCCAAACAAGTGGGGATTAAGGGTGGGATCTAAGTACCATTATGTGCTTATCCCGTGGATGGAGATTGAATATTTCTCGTTAGGTTACTCATCGATGTAGTTCCAATAAGCTCTCGCTCGAGCTATAAAGAGTACAATAAGATTTATGCGTGTTATATTTGTAAACCATGGGTATTATCTGGGAGGTGATAGTCTCACTTCCCTGGTATTATGCTAAGCTTTATTGGTATTGCTTTGTTTCGATCAAATACAAAATTACGACTATTACACTTCGAATAGCAGTACATTATGTGTCAAAGAATTACATGTACTACACTCTTAAAATAGGTGGTCAAAATGTCAACCAATTCTTAACCAAATATGGGTCATATATGCTAAATTTGGGGTATCTAATGCCCAAGTTGTGTTGGTTAATGCAATTTAATACCAAATTGTCTCATTTCTGATTAACCAATAATTACCCAGTCCTACTTCACGAACCTTTTATTTTACCAACTCCATTTTGATATTCATTTTACCAAACAACGGGTAACATAACCTATTATTCTTCTTATTCTACAATTTTTTTCCAGAGACGTGTCCTATAGTTGAGTGTCAGAACGGTGGATCATGTGTGGAATACCAACAGAGTCGATACTGTGTGTGTGCTGATGACTGGACGGGTTCATTCTGTGAGTTAGGTAAGTCATGATTATACAATGCGTCCCAGAAAAAACGAAACCGAGAATTATCGATGTTTCATCATAACTAACTCTCGACTATGATTAATAAATAAGGCAGCCAATGAAAACGAATTCGTTTACTAAAATTATGGAAATGCAAGCATTACTTTAAACAACAGAGCTTTGTTATTCCTGGCTCAATTTTTCTGATTAAAAGGGCAGAAAATGAACTTTGTAGAAATGTGATTTTCTCTTTGAAATTCGGATACCGCCCGTCAAATGACTTTTTGGTTTCCTCTCTTCAAATTGTTTTTAATCATTGATGCGTGAAATATGCATCATATGAGTTGCTTCAAATGAAAGAGTAGGATCTAAGCCTTACAAACATTTGTCATTTATTAAATATAATTGTGCTTAAGTTATGATAACACATCAATAATTCTCGGTTTCATTTTTTCTGGGACGCACTATACAATGAAAGTCCACCTCATACTTTCCCGCTCCTATGATTGCCTCTGCCAGCCAGACCATATAAATTGATATTGAAAACTGTCCTCATTTACGTATTTGATAAGCGTAATAAAACAAACGATAGCACGTAACCTGTATATTCATGGTGTTCGTCATTTTGATTTTTCGCTTGAAACTTTTTACATACAGTACCCATTTCACTGATTTCAGGTTCATGTTCATCTACATACAGGTATACCGATGTAACAAACTGATACAAAGCTCGCGACCATATATTACGAATGATGTGAAGTCTTTGTTGTCTTGTATATGAAACATAATTATAACACTACATGGTGTAAACCTTAGCGCCATGACAAAATTGTAGGCATTAAGAGGAAAACATTTCTTTCTTTGGTTTGCATTATCATCTGGCTACATTTTATTCACAATGAAAAAAATGTCTACTTTTTATTAGCACTATAGTAATGTAGAATATCATTCATATCATTTCTTACAAAGTTAATTATCTAAAATGCACTTTTATCATTTCTACCGTGAAAATGTGCAATTTATCACTAAGTCCAAATTATAAGATGACAGAGCTTTGCTATTTTATAAGTTTCTGTCAGCTTTCCTTTGTTTTTATCTTGAAATTGTAATAGATTCTCATCACCATTCTTTTCATATATTATTTGTTTCCAATTCATATAGGCATTCAAAACTGTGATCCCAACCCGTGTAAGAATAATGCATTTTGTGCAAAGATTGGAGGCGAGACCACGTGCTATTGTCCACGAGGATTCAGGGGAGAAAGATGTGAAACCAGTAAGTCATCTAATAATAATAATATTTTATATTTATAAAGCGCTTAATACTAATGTTTCTAAGCGCAAGAAAAAGAAGAAACGAAAAGGAAGGAAAGTGAGAGATATCAAAGAAACATGTTCAAATATTAAATTACAAGTAAACGGCAAAAAAGAATATGACATTACACAAAATAATGACTACATCCAAATTAAATGAAATTAGAATTCTAGTAGCTATGATGATAAAAATAACAATAATAATGACAACAATGATAATTATGATAATATCAAAATCAATTATAATATTAATAATGATAATAATGATAATATTTAGAACAACGATAATAATAATAATAATATCATTAATGATAATTATATCAATAATATTAATAATAATTACAATAATGGTAATGTTAAAAATGATTTGATGATAATTTTGTTTTTGTTTTGTAATGTTCTTTATTGTGTTCATTCAATACATCAAATCAATTCATACATGTACATCTGTGTTACATTATATCATTCAATACATAACATCGAATCATACATAATGATAATAATAACGATAACGATATTTACAATAATAATAACAAAAGTTGGTTCTTGTTTAGCGCTAATGTCTGTCGGACTTGACACTCTTTGCGCTTTACAATAATTACACCCGGCATGGTTGCCATAAAAGCAGTAGCTTCTGCAAGGAGTAAAGGAAATTTATGTTGAAACAGGGGTAGAATAATTTTGATTTCTACTACGAAAATAATATCTCATACAATATCTTGTGTCAAAGACAGCAGAACGGAGAATTGTGTTTATGCCTTAAAAAAGACAAATTTCAAGTTCAAAGCAAAGATACGCGAATATCTCGTATAAGGTAAAATGTGTTTTTCTTTCTAATTGTCCTCTTTTGATTCTTCTTCTTTTCCCTCTCCAGTGATCATCAATTTCAACATATTTAACTCAGCGAATCACCAACGATATGGACTGTATCTAATTCTCTCAGGAATCTTACTGAACTTGGTGGTATTTTTCTTATAAACCTTGATCTATAATCGATAGTCACTGACTGGTTTTATTTAACTAACTGAAATTTTAGAAAGAAATGAATAAATTAATTGAGATATTGTTTTTGTTATGAACTACGATTATATCGACCAAAGTTTGAGCCCCAAATTGCTAAAGCCCACAAGGCCGATAGCCCACGAGACCGATATTCTATACAGAAGACCCGGGATGTAACATAATAGGCCTATTTTTTAAGTTAACTCGACCCATTGTCTGTATTTTTTAACCTGCCTCTGGAGCAGTGTTGACATTGTTCCCACTTATTGCGACAACCTCTGGATAGTAACTGATGTGAAAGTGGCTTAATGACTAATGGCAATTCGAACAATCCATACCGGAGTTTCTAAAGGCACAATATTCTACTCATCTCTACACCATCACGAATCGAGGAAAGGGTATCAAGATTTCGATCATTTAAACAAATGTTTAATATAAAAAGAAGAAGCTTTCTATTCACGTGAGTTTTATATATGAAGCCTATGAAGAAATATATTCTTATTTTAATATTAATAAGAGATAATTGATTATATTAATTATATACGTGCTTGCGTTTTTTAATATTTTACAGTGGTTGATTGATTTTTCTACATATATTTTCTATTCTGAGAGGAAGGTTGTTGGTGATTGTAATATTTTTTTAAATAATAAATTGTTCATGTATATAGCAATATTTATGAGACTTTCATTGTTATAAGTTTGATTATCCGTTTGTGTTTCTTGATATAGGAAAGATTCTGTAGCAGAAACTGATCGGATCGGGCTAAATTTGATACCTATAATTGTAATACTTCATCATTAGAAAACAATAATTTTGGTGCTATGTTCATAAGATTTTTTTCTATATCAATAACTGTTCTCAACATGAGAATAAAAATTTATGATATGGTATTGATCTTTACAAAAGAATATCCCTTGGTGGCTGTCAATTGAGTGTTTTTATCAAATGTTCTTTATTATAGTTGTACAAAATAAAAGCGTATAAAGTATTTTTTGTGAAATGTATAATAATTCCTTTAAAGTCTTTTCATTTCTATAACAAAATATTTTTTATTGTGGTTCTGTAATGTTTGAGTTTTAATAACTCTAGTGATGAATCATATTTCATGCCTTATTTTATGTATTCTTGAATTTTTGAATAAGTGTAGTAGTTCTTTTAACTAACCAAAGTCATTTCAATCGCGTTTTGTTTAACATTTTCAAAATAACACACAGTGTAAAGATTAATATGTAATTTCAAGAAATTACTTAAAACAATTTATTAAAAATATATCCAAATTAATATTGATTAGTTTCGGCCACTTTTATTTTCTTGCTCCATCATACCTTTTTATTTGGCAATTTCACATTTCTCACCTTATTTTATTCTACTCTTTTGTATTAGTAATTTTAAATTCTATAATTCTAATCATTTCACTAATTTGTATCATTTTTCTATCTATTTAGGCTTTATCCTCCTGGGATCTGTGTTATAAAAGAGAAATAATTTGTAATTGATATCACCATTATCTCCTATCACTATTTAGTAGAGTTGTGATTGATATAGATTCCAATTATTTGTAGTCAATCGCGCTCTTTTTGGGGCAGGTTCCTGATTTTTACCAAACTGGTGATAATGTATGTAATTTTAATTGACTTGTGTGAATGTACAAGTTCCTAATTTGAATGAAGATTGTGAATAGATGTAGATTTTTTAATCAACGATGTGTCGATATTTTGATAAAAGAAACTTTAATCTTAGATAATGCGTTTAAGTGTGTTCATTGTCATTAACTGGTGCTATACGGATACATGTTGGAAAGTATGAAGAGAGTGTCGATTTGTTAGAACAAGTATCTTTACTGTATGTAATTTCCTTGTTTTCCCTTTATCCTCGTGCCCTCTCGTTTTCTCCCTTTGTTCTACCCCTGCACGTCTCCCCTTCTCCCCTCTCATTTGATCTCATAATTGATACTCCCTACTGATCTCTCCGTCATTCCCTTCCTCTCTCTATCTCTCCCTCCTTCCCTATGTTTCCCTCTCAACCCCCCTCTCTCTCTCTCTCTCTCTCTCTCTCCTTCCCTCTGTTCCCTCCCCCTCTCTCTGGGCCTTGCTGCATCTTTCTCATCTTGTCCCATTTTGCATATACATCATTATAATTGCTTTGCCTCAGACCTCCCTTTCTCTTTTCCCCAGTACATTTTTAGAGCTAAGAATACTATTCACACAACAGCGAAGAGCAGTTACTGAAGGACTAACACACAAAAAAGAAGAGAGAGAGAAGAAGAAAATATATCAGAAAACAAGACAAAAATGACAAGTAGAAAAATACAAGAAAAAGAAACACCAAGAGAAAACATCAGGAGGAAGAAGAAACTTGAAAACAACAGTGATAAAGGCTGTCAATGAAGTATATGACAAAGAGAAAAGGAAAGAAATAAGAGATTGAAAGCAAAAATAGAATATACCTCTTGCAATTTTTGTCATCCATTAAAACCAATTGCAAATATTTCAGCCACTAGGATCGCTACACCCAAATGACCCAATACTTGGACATGTTTTGTCTTCATCTTTTTTTTTGGGATCCTTTATTGCATCAACAGACATACACACAATCAGAAAAAAACGCCATGAGAAAGGTCCGTTTCTTGTTTCTATTTTAACTTTATTACAAAATGCAACGTTTCACCCCCTCACAAACTTGGGTCTATGTACATAAGGAATACCTTTGGCAAGTCCTTTCAAACTTTCCTTAAGGAAAAGGATACAGTCTGGAATTACAGATGTGACATCTGCAATGTCTTGCTCTGCTCAGTAGATAGGTGAAAATGGAAATGGGGTTTTGTAACCATAATTGAATTCAGAACAAATCTGATTGGGCAACAACAAAAAATGTATGTTCTGTACGATCAAGATGACAATGCATAGCCATTCTGGTTGATGGTAGGTACTGGAGTACTGTACAAAAGATCATACAAGAAAAACAAAATCATTGGTTACACCACAGACACAGTATTCAGCACCATCTTCTGTTGTTACATTATTTTACACTTTTCTACAAAGAACTTGTCAACGATAAAGTGTTTTTGGTTTGTTTTTGGTTGGAATCATTAATCACAATAAAAAATAATGTGAAGAAAAAGCCACTTCTGAGATACTATCTAAACATGGGAAGATAAGGGTTGTTTGTACAAAACTGTAAAACCCATCAAGACAAATGTTGGATGAACTTATGTAATCATTATTCATTTATGCACCGGTGGTACATTCTATGATACACTGGTGGAACTCTTCTTTCAAGGAGGGAAAACAAAAGGTATTCATGAAGCACCTCCATCACTTTGACAGTTATTATTCTAAAATGCACAAAGTGGGAAGTCTCCATGTGTAAAAGATCTGTGGGTATTTGAGGGTCACTTGTACAAGTGCTATCTCTAAAAATGGCTTATTGTATTTTACAGTTACTACATAGATATAGCCAACCGGTGATTAGAAGCTGCAAGATTATTATCCTTGATGTCAGCCAGTGGAATTTCAATGTACTAGTATGTAAATGAGGAGAACTGATGGTTTTGGTAGAGGTTAGGAATGGTCATTATCAGCAGAAATCTAAAGAGAAAGCCTTGTAACCAAAGTTTGTGTAGACATCAATCTTAGAACTCGCCCCTGATGAACACAGAACCTGAATAAAGGAAGATAAGAGAAACCATTACATACATTAGAGAGTTATGATAATAATCACTAATGATGAATACCATATGAACATGTGGGTCGGTATTTTATCAATTCAGTTAAACCTGACCCTGGGTCTAAGATCATGTTTTACAAAACGAAAACATAGACCTCAAGACTGACTTCCTTTGTAAAATCAAATTAAAACCAGCATAGGAGTAGAATATGGAGAGAAGTTATTCGGCAACTTGTATAAGATTGTGTGAAAAAAAATATTTCTGTTATCACCAGGGCCCTGTCTTATAAAAAGTTGATCAAAAAAGCTGATCAAAATCAATCACAAGTTTGCAGTCCCCCACCTCTTATGTAAATAGTTGCGATATATATCAATTGCAAATAGGTTGCAATTAATCACAACTGTTCATAAGATGGTGCTAAGAACTCTAGTGTACCTTTGATACATAGCGGGACAATCACAATCAATCCAAAAAAAATTGATAGGTTGGTCATTTCAATGCATTTACAATATAAAACCACAGTATTCTCAATACTCCTGAGCTCATCCTGGGCCCCATTTCACAAAACTTGTCATCAGTGACAAATGACAGTTTTTGTTATAAGCCACTGAAATCCTAGACCGAAAGCTTCAGTCTCTCTAATCGTCGGTTGTTCCACTGAGACTACGTCTGGCTCCACTAGACCTCCGATTATAGAGACTGAAGTCTGGGGACCTCTTTCTGTGAGGCACTGTACGGAACAAATGGTTCGGTTCAACCGGACCGCGATGAATGAGATATGCAACGAGATTTTCACTCTTTACATCCTCATAACTGCTGCAATTATAACACAAATTAAAAATAACATATATATAGCTTATTTGACTTACGATAGCTTGCTCATTTAGATCCTAAATTAATGATTAATCCGAGAAAGTCTCGTCGTCAACATTATACGTCTTGGTGTTAGTTGATGAATATTCATTTTTTCAGCTACGTAGGAGTAAGCCCAGCTTGACCAACGAACTCCCACGAAACGAGTGCTCTGATTGGCCATTTGGCTATGTTTTGGTAGGTTGACCCGGAAATATTTTGGCCGCCGGGTCATATAGCCCTATGTTCCGAGTGCATGAACGTTCGGAGATACAAATTGGATAATTCATATAAGTAAGTCCGTAAATTATCCATTTAATATTGAGTTATCAAATTTTGATAACTGTAATTAGGACAAATGACATACCGACCTAATTTACATCTGATTTAGAAATCAGGAAATTAGATCTAAATAAAGAAAATCGGGGAGAAAATGTCGTGGACGAAAATATGTACATAGCCTGCCCCACGGTACGAGATCTCTGGGTTGCCATCTGTATTGGGGAATGACAACAAATGTCAGTTTTATTAAAGAAATGACCCAAATCAGATGGTTATTGCTGTCTACTGAAATCCTTGCTTTTGATTGGTTATCAGCAGATTTGTCACTGATTTTTCGTCATTTGTCATTGAAAAAGGGCTTTGTGAAACGGGTCCCATGTTTCTCAGAACCCTGGCAGTGAGGTGAGATAGAGCCTTACCTTGTTAGCCTCTGACTCTGTATTGATGACTACACTGTAGACATCCATAGCTGTACATGGTGTGGTTAGTTTAGAATCACCGTTCACATGCCAATGATAGATGTTTGGAGACGTCCCTGCAGAGATTACCTGAATTCAACAAAAAACCATCATCACACATGAATCATATACTCTACACAGAAATGATGCTTTGCAGCATTGGAATGAACATTCATTGAAAACAGTGCATTCAAATTTATTTTCATTTCACATGCATTTTGGAGGATTTTATGATAACTAAGCTCTGGTTTAGTTTAAGACTTCATCATGAGTTGTGTCTGGTATAGTTTAGGAGGATTTCATAAAAAGTTATCTCTGGTTTAGTTTTTTAGAGGATTTCATAATAAGTTATCTCTGGTTTCAGACTTAACAGGTTAACATTGAAGCCAAAATAATATGAGGGGATGCGTCGATACAAGTTTATAACAGATATGAATAATTGACAAGTGATATAGTTGAAATTATATTTGTTTACAAGAATATACAAGAATCACTTCCAATGTGTTACGAAAAAAAGGAAATTACTTCCTGCCTTGAAAGTAAATTAAGGCCTTTAGGAATTTGACATAAAACCTCAGAGAATGTGTTTATAGTATACTATTTAAAAAAAAATTGAACTCATAATGAATGGTGTAAAAAGAGACTAAGACATTTTGGAATCTCATACGTGTTGCACAAAATGAAGCCTGAAAAAGCCTAATTTGGGAAGTTGTCACAGCCTAAAATCGGGCTATGGCATGAGAGCTGGCATCACTGATATTACAAAAATATAATGGCAAAATTAAAAGGTTCCTATATAGCTCAAAATTATAAAAAAAGAATGTGATGACAATATATGGATAATATTTCAGCATCTATACAATTAGTTATATCATAGTTAATGATTACGATATTTGTTATAAGCCATATAATAACAATAATCATTTTTATATAGACAGAGTAGCCTCATCATTAGTATTACTGTTCTCCCTGAGGGCCCTGCAATCATATTATTACCCCGGCTTCCAAGTCTATTATCGAAAAAGAGTGTTTGACTTACAGCATCATCATGGTAGAGAACAACGTGTGGCTGACATTTAGGTGCCTCAAAGACAGTGGTAGGAGAAAGAGATCTCAGATGCCACAGACTCAATGATGGTCCACCACCACAAATCTAGGGGAGGAAAAAACACATCTATGTTAAACATCAGGAACATGTGTCGTAGGGTCTATGCTATAACCATCATGACCACATTTATCATAACCCTCCATCTATGCTGCCACACCAAATCTACCAACACAATTTTTGACATAACCATTGTCATTATCATTATCATCATCATCATCACGATCATCATCATCATCATCATCATCACAATTACTACCACCATCATCACCCCCAGCTCCATGCCCTAAAACATCATCACCATCAATACCAAATCCACAATCAACATCATAGTGATAAACCTTTCAGGATACTTCTGAGGTGGGCTACATTTCAATTTTTATTTAACCTGAAGTTGTAACCATATTCCCCATACCTACAATTTGAACTGCCTTGCAAATGCCTCACATCTCTACACACCTTTTGGGGGAACTTGTTTGCAAATTAACAACCATCACAAGAAGTCTGATATGTACCAGGTAATAAAAACTCACCAGCCAATCATCTGCGGGATCCACTGCTACACAGCTTATCCATTTATCTCTTGGATTATTGATGCATTCCTGCAAAATATTTACAAAAATATATTCATTTCTTAGTTATGTGTAGAAGTTTATCACAAAAAAAATCAATTGCAGATTGCATGAAGAGAGGGGGAGAAAGAGAGAGGGGGAGAAAGAGAGAGGGAGAGGGAGACAGAGACAGAGACAGAGACAGAGACAGAGAGACAGAAAGGGGGGGGGTAGAGAGAGGAAAGAGACAAAGAAGAGACAAAGAAAGATCAACTAATATAGTCCTGTTCACACATTACACAATCCTTATTGAATAACAGCAAAGTCTGGAAGACAATGAAAACACATACATTACAGATTTAATGATTACAAGGTAATCATGTAATACATTTTACTCATCTTCATATTGATATGTCAAACAATGATAAAATTCAAGCTAATATTGTTTAAGGATAGAGAGTGGTTTTTTCACATACAATCCTATCAATTGCTCTCTAGTACCTTTTAAATTTGAAACTCTCACATGTATATCAGGATACATAAAGCTTTTATTCCATTCACTTCAGTTTAAAAGAACAAAATAGGCAAAACAGCAAAGAAATTAATGAGAAACGGATATAATTATTAATAATAACAATCTGGATTTATAAAGCGCTAAATACAAGATGCCATCTCTAAGTGCTTTACAGATATTAATTTTCCCGGTCATTGGATTCATTCACGCACAATGTGCACCATCCCCATTCCCTCGGTAGTATTCCTACCACATGGTGACCGTGAGGCATATGGCTATAACTTACACAAAGGCTTTTGTCATCCTACCCGGTCCCCATTTCTTTGCTTGGCATGGAGTAGCAAATGTAGATTACTATTTGCCAAAGGACATTAGTGCCATGTCAGGAATCAACCCACGACCTTTGCATTTCAAGTCAAGTGCTTAACCACTCGTCTCTGACACCTCTACATATATCAGACTCACCTCATGTTTGCTTGGTTCCAGTATGGCTACAGGTTCTCCTGACGTTCTTGTATCTGAGGAAGCACAAGAAGAAATCCATATGCATAACCCTCATAAATTTGATGATTTTTGTGTTTTTCATAACTCAAGAATGAAAGTGAACTGGTTGAATTAGGGCCTCTGTTGAATACTTTTATATGTAAGCTTTAATATATACCATTCTCAAGAAATATAAATCCATTAATATGGGCCTCAGAGTAGAAGTGCTGGTGTTTTCTTGGAATGCGTGATAAATTTCCTTTGTATAATTTTTATGACAGATGTCACTGTTATTCGGAGAACCATTTTGTTTAAAATTGGCAGTCTTGTTTTCCTCAGCTTCTCTTCCAAATCTAATCTATTTAGAGAAGCCAACAACCTGGGCTTGATAATCAAAAGTCTGCTGTTATACTGGCAATGGTAACATACCTGCTATACATATAGATCTATCTTGAAGAAAGAAAAGGGAGGCACTCTTTGTTTCTGAAGGTTTATAATTCTGTTATACAAATTTTCCATAGTAGAGGGGCCATAATTCTGAAAATGAAATGGTGTTTATTATTCTAAACGTTTTTCTTGCGGGTTTCCGAAGGTTCGTTTGTCCGAAGGTTCATAAATCTGGAGAAAAAAAATAGGATTCATTATTCCAAAGGTTCATAATTTCTAAAAACAATACAGGGATTTTTGTCACTTTTAGAATTTTGAACTTTCAGAATTATGGTCCACATTTCATTTCCGAGAATACAAACCTTCAGATTATGAACCTTTGATGTAACGAACCTTCGGAATCACACATCTTCAGAAACATGAATATTTGGATAAACGACACGTAACAAAAGGAAATGTGAATGTTTTGCTCACCCCATATCCTGACTGTTCCATCTTCTGAACCTGATGCGACCTGTGCTGATGTATTGAACAATGCTACAGCATGGATGTAGTCAGTGTGGTCTGTATAAGAATGCTGCACACAAATGAAAATAGTAACAGTACATATTTAGAAAAATGTTTCCTCCTTTATAGAGGCATTTGGCACCTAAAAGTATATATATATTTAGAATTAATTTTCCCCTTTTAAGAGGCATTTGACAACTCAATATCATTACTTCGCAATCAAAATAAGAATGCTGGATAAGAATGCTGCACAAAAATAAAAGTTATAAACAAAATATTTCATATTTAGACAAACAATTTTTTTTCTTTTATCGAGGCATTTGAAAACTAAGAACAAGTGCATATTAATTCACATCTTATACGAGTACACTTTCACAGATATAAAGAGTATATATTTAGAATTCATTTTCTCCTTTACAGAGGAATTTTACAACTTCAAATTATAAACTCACAATTGAAATTATTAATTCACATCTGCATAAGAATGTTGCACAAGTAAAAAGATTAAAAATTTAGAAAAACATTTCCTCCTTTAAAGAGGCATTTGAAAACAACAAACTAATGCATTTTAATTCATCTTATATATCAGTAATACTACAACCACATATAGATTGTCAAGTACACATAGATGATGCACAATTTATAGGCCTCTTGTTATTTCATTTACAAATAACATATTTATTTGTAGTAAACTGTGGTTAAACTCCATAAATGCAATCAAGATTCAAGGCAGCTGGTACATTTATTTAGGATTGATAAAAGAGACAGACAGACCAAGAGTGGTAAAGACAGAGCAATATATGAGGAAACTATAAATAAGGAAGGAGAAGGAGAAACAAGAGTAGAAGTACATGAAAATCAAATGCTTACCTTACATGTACCGGACTCTAAGTCCCACACATGTAATTCACTGTCACCTCCACCTGAGTATAGAGTGTTGTCCTGTTCATGAAAGTTATTCATTAAATAAAGCATTAAAATTCATACATGAAATAAAAACATATTAAATATTATGTCCTTGTGTTCAATACAGAGTGGTGTCCTGTTCATAAAATTAACAGATTAGATTAATATCAAAAGAATGAAATTACATTTGGTGGGCATTAGGAAGTTACAAAAAAAAGTCAAGATGTATTTTCATTCATTTCATCTTTTTATTTTTGTTTATTCGTTTTGTTTGTTTGTATTTCACATGTACCCGTCAAGTGAATGGCAAGTGAGGTACAACATAGTCCTAAGTGTATTATCTGTAAAATTAAGAGATACTGAGATGAAAATACTGTTCACTCGGCATTCCTTGCAGTACATGTGAACAAGGCTTAAACAGTGTGAAGGGAAAATGTTTTAAAGCCCGTCTGCACTAGTTTAGCCAGGAGGGATTAGACCAACCTGCAATCTCACTGACAGGTGGTTATCTCATCAAATCACCTCTCAATTAAGATAAGAAAAAGAGGATCATGGGGGACCAACGGGCACCGCTTAGGCATTGTTTTCTATATAGAGGGAGCAAGTAGCTACAAGTAGTGCAGTGGGGCTTTAATAGATGTTCTCACCTGACGGCTGTAAGCAAGGCCGTTTGTTTCCACCGCTCCAAAGTTAGCAGAGTGGGGCACAGACAGTGACCAGGCTACCCTAGGTGCCTGCAATATAGATACAACAGATCAAAACATTACAATCAACGTTGAACAGAGTGATTCAAATCATGCTGCAAGAATCGTACATTGCTTTCCTGAAAACCAGGGTAAATATAACTTTTGGGCCCCGTCTTACAAAGAGTTGCGATTGATCTGAATCAATCGCAAGTCCTCTTATCAATAGCAAGTGTGCAGTCCCCTATATCTTATAAACACAGTTTTGATTGACATCAATCACAACAAAAAGTTGTGATTAATCTATTTCTTAAGGAATAGCTTGAAAAAGAAATGATATGTATATTCAATAAGTGATTTGGTTATGAGGGTTTATAATATTCTTAATTATGACTTATTGTAGGTGATATAGTCATTAACATTTAAGAAACTACCTCAAATCTATGAAAAACTGAAACAAAAATTGAAAGCACTTAAGACCTCATCAACACAAAATATTGACCATAGCTTTACAAAATGTTAAATGAAAATTTCATGATTATACAGGCAATGAAAGATAGACTAGATGAGGCTTGAATCTCTGACCTTCTGTTGAATGTCCTTCCACTTCCAAGCTTTGATATCTCCACTTCCACCACTTTAAAGAGAGAACGGAGGGGGGAGGGGGGGGGGGGAGGGGGATGAAACAAAATGATAAATGTTGAGGGTTTTACTTTCAACTATCTTTACATTGTACTAACAGCAACCACACAAACACATATAAAGAAGGAGGAATAGAAAGAAATAAAGAAAGAGAAGAGGGAAGATGATGAGAGGGAAAGAGAGATAAAAGAGACTGAAGAAAGAAGCGAGAGATAAGGACACAGAAAAATTAAGGAAAATGTGATTACTGTCAGAAATAATAAGTGATCTAATCTATAATACCAGAAATATAGCTTTTTTAACTGCAAAATTTAAAAATATTAACATTTACTTCTAGAATTTACATTAATAAGGGGCATTGGTTTCTATTTTAGCAGATCTGATAGGAGTTCCTACAAAATTACATTCTTCTGATTGAATTTCTCACGCTGCCATGGCAACCAATCATGCACTTTTAGCGTGTTTTGTCTGTCATAGTTTGCAGGCACAGAAACAAATTTTGACACAAAATTGATAGCAACTTAAGCCTAGCTGAGATTGATCAATCACTGGCTTCAAGGAACAGCTACAGGACAAATCCATAGACCTATTATGGGTATCACAAACTTCTACCCAGTACACCCCCCCGATCATAGTTATGTTTTCTAAAGGTGACCTGACTTTTGTATCTACCGTATTTGCTCCAGGCTTAAGCATCATTCAGAAATTCCATAGTAAACAAATGTGGATTTTGTTTTTTTAATGATGTAAATGAAATGCACTTCGCATTTGTATGATCTTATAACAAAGAGGTTAGTTGGACCTGCTGCAGTTCACCACTTCATATCTAAATGAGCCTATATTCCATCAAAGGGTTAGAGTTGCAATTGGGTTTTTGTTAGGTTTAGGGTTAGGTTTAGTGCTGAGTCCTGGTTTGAAATTAAGAATTTGTTTAGAGTAGGAAATTGAAAAGGAGCATTGTCACAGATGCAATTGTTGTACAATCTATTCCAAATTACACAGAAGCATTTGATCTTATTTCAAGGAAATTTTGGTTTGCTATACATGATTGGTGAGGTTCAGAATTATGTTTTGTTATAATTCATTTTTATAACCTGTTTTTCCCACATTGATTTGTTCTGTTAGTACTCCAAGTTCTTACCAAATCAAAAAGTTTTCTGTTGACAACAGAGCAAAAATAGCACCATCAAAGGCTGAAGAAGAAAAGAAAGACAGAATTTCATGAAAATTGATGTAATTAGTATTACTTGATATTTCCTCCTAACATGTTATATCATAAACATTAATTCAAAAGATGTCCAATTAAAACACACTGTCACCAACATATCATGAACAAATTATAGATGTAGCTGCCTTTGTTAAAGCATATTTATAGAATTCAAAATTTGAAAATAGACATTTTTATTGTAGCAACTCTTCATCTCTTATGGAATTTCAACCACAAAATACATTACATCCTTATAATTTCCTCATTTGTCAATGATTTGCTTTATCATTCTAAACACAGAATTACAGATAAATTGCAAGATTGAACATGGAATTACCTTTGAATGTGAAGATGGGTTTTCTGCTGTTCTCATTTGCATCTGAAGCCAGTGCATTACGCATACTAGATAAACAAAAATACAGAAAGAACATCAGTTTATTAATAGGTAATATATATTATGAAACATAAATATTTAAAAGCCCCTAATGTAAAAATGTGATACTTAAAGGGATTGAGTAACTTTGCATCAGATTCTGAAACAAAATCCATAAATTAGCTCATGCTACAATGACAATTGTATGACTTTTACAAGCCGATCATCTCATCTGTCTGATTACCAAGATATTTATGATTGGAAATCAAAATCAAATTTTGCGTTTTCCTAACGGTTTTCATAACACAACAGTCTATTGGGGGAAATGAGTATGGTAAAAACATGATGTGTTGCTGTGTATGACAAATAAAGTTAAAATTGCAATTTTTCTTAATTTTTTTTACTACCACCAACTTTTTTATGTTTGCCCAGATCAAAATACTTTTCGACACTTTACTTGTATGACTTCATAATGGTAAGAAGTTTTTGCAAGTTGCAACCATTCATCTGCTAAACTGAACAAGAAGAATTGCATTTGGAACTGAATGTATAGGCTTTAAAAATCCTACGTTAAGGAGAGTCCGTAGTAAGTATCATTAGTTTCAACATACACAATGTATTTCTTCAATATTCTGAAAACCAACCCACCTGAAGACAGCAATTGTTCCATAGTTGTTACCAGCTAGTAAGTACTTGCCATCTGGTGATATACACTGTGCAAACACTGACATGTGAAGCTGCTTCTTCTCCTTCAAGATTTGTTCCTACACAGAGAAATATATAGCCATAAATAAAATACAGGCCTATTTTCAATTCCTTAAAATTGTTACAATTACAACAGACTTTACCAATAAGAGACTTTAAACAAAAAAATATGTATACTAATGAACTGATGCTAACAACTGAATTGCATCATATCAAATTGCAGATCCTTTAATTAAGGCTGTCAGCAATAGACAATCTGTTTATTTTACTGTCATTATATTGTGTAGGATTTGTCAACTTAGATTAGAAAATATACATAAATAATGAGAAAAGGAAGTAGAAGAAAAACAAAAAGAGGAGGAGGAGGAGGAGGAGGAGGAGGAGGAGGAGGAGGAAGAGGAGGAGGAGGGAGGGAGGAGGGAGGAGGGAGGAGGAAGGAGGGAGGAGGGAGGAGGGGGTGGGAGGAGGGGGAGGGAAGTGGGAGGAGGGGGAGGGAAGTGGGAGGAGGAGGGAGTGGGATGAGGAGGATGAGAAGGAGTAGGAGGAGGAGGAGGAGGAAGAGGAGGAGGAAGAGGAGGAGGAGGAGGAGGAGGAGGAGGAGGAGGAGGAGGAGGAGGAGGAGGAAGAAGAGGTGGAGGAGGAGGAAGAGGAGGAGGAGGAAGAGGAGGAGGAGGAGGAGGAGGAGGAGGAAGAAGAGGTGGAGGAAGAGGAAGAGGAGGAGGAGGAGGAAGAGGAGGAGGAGGAGGAGGAGGAGGAGGAGGAAGAGGAAGAGGAGGAGAAAGAGGAGGGGAGAGGGAGGAGGAGGTGGAGGAGGAGGAGGAAAAAGGGGGAGGAGGAGGAAGAGGAGGAGGAGGAGGAGGAAGAGGAAGAGGAAGAGGAGGAGGAGGAGAAAGAGGAGGGGAGAGGGAGGAGGAGGTGGAGGAGGAGGAGGAGAAAGGGGGAGGGAGGAGGGGGTGGGAGGAGGGGGAGGGAAGTGGGAGGAGGGGGAGGGAAGTGGGAGGAGGAGGGAGTGGGATGAGGAGGATGAGAAGGAGTAGGAAGAGGAGGAGGAGGAGGAGGAAGAAGAGGTGGAGGAGGAGGAGGAGGAGGAGGAAGAAGAGGTGGAGGAGGAGGAAGAGGAGGAGGAGGAAGAGGAGGAGGAGGAGGAGGAGGAGGAGGAGAAGAGGAAGAGGAGGAGGAGGAGAAAGAGGAGGGGAGAGGGAGGAGGAGGTGGAGGAGGAGGAGGAGAAAGGGGGAGGGAGGAGGGAGGAGGAAGGTGGGAGGAGGGAGGAGGGGGTGGGAGGAGGGGGAGGGAAGTGGGAGGAGGGGGAGGGAAGTGGGAGGAGGAGGAAGTGGGATGAGGAGGATGAGAAGGAGTAGGAGGAGGAGGAGGAGGAGGAGGATGAGGAGGATGAGAAGGAGTAAGAGGAGGAGGAGGAGGAGGAGGAGGAGGAGGAGGAAGAGGTGGAGGAGGAAGAAGAGGAGGAGGAAGAGGAGGAGGAGGAGAAGGAGGAGGAGGAGGAAGAGGAAGAGGAGGAGGAGGAGAAAGAGGAGGGGAGAGGGAGGAGGAGGTGGAGGAGGAGGAGGAGGAGAAAGGGGGAGGAGGAGGAGGAGGAGGAAGAGGAGGAGGAGGAGAAGACATATTTTTTATTTCGTTGTATGGATGAAGGATGAATTATGTTTCGGCTCAATGAGAGAAAAAACAAGTAGAACTAGAAGTATAATCTATCAATTTTTTTGTTAATTTGTTATCAAAATCTAATGTAAAGTTTTCGGGAATTTTAAAAATTAGATGGATAGTGATTCTTTACAATTGTGATATATTTACATGTAGACGCCCCTGTGGATGTATTACATGCATAAGCACTAGAAAATTTAACCCCTAAAGCACTTTTGCTTTTGAGTAAAATTAAATATTAAAATTTACCGGTGCTCCCGGTAAATTTTGATAAATTTCAAATAGCGATTATGGTCATACAATTGCAGCTGCGGCCATGAACATCTCAGAATATGTAGATGTGATATATAATTTCTAAACGGAAATAGTCAATCGGTCGATTTTAGTCAAGAAACTTGGTTTATTGGCTCAATTAATATCTTGACCTTGAGAGGGAGCTATACAACATAAGGAGTTTATTATTTAAAATTTCATAACTTGAGACTCGATTTGAACCGCGACAACGATCACTGAATATTGTAGGATCGCTATATGCTTCCAATCAGTTCATTTGAATCAAATTCATGACCCCATACCAAAACTTTGTATTACCTTTAAACAAAAATAACAGGGTAAAATCCACATCAGCCATACAGTCACCCACACACAAAATAAAGATTTAATATCCAATTATCCTATGATTCACAGTTCACACAAATTTTCAAGAAGAAATGCAAAGGCTCAATTAGATCTTATGAGTTATGTAGATTCTATCTAGAACTTAGAAAGCCTTCAAAGAATTAGAATATTCATGGCGTTTACAAACTTTGAAGTTTGATCCAAGAAGTGAAGCCCAAGGCAAGATGCAACCTAGACCGAATTTTCTGTCTCTTTCGTTCATTAGCCTCTGATTTGGGTAGGGTCGGCTCCTCTCTAAACGACCCTACACAAATCAGAGGCTAACGAACGAAAGAGACAGAAAAATCGGTCTAGATGCAATCCAACCCTAATGGAGCTCTCACACTCTGCCGTGTAGGCCTACCGTCCACCTGCCGGGCTATTAAAAAAACAGAGTACAGAACGTTGGGTTTTGAGCAAACTTGTCCCCGGCCGCAAAAAAAAATTCATAAAATTAATCTTTTCACCGTTTCGTTGCCATCTTCTGACCGTTCTCACCGGGCGCATAGCGGGTGTTGAACGTGCTTCTACCGTCTTCACCGCCCAGATTGACTTTTGTTGAAAATTTTGGCCGTTTCCATACCGGGCCCATACCGGGTCTCGAACGTGTTCACCGGGTTTGTAGCAGCCACCTACCAGTCACTTAGCGTCCCCTCACCGCTCGGAGCGTCCTGTGAGCGAGTCCCCGGACTGCTGACGTCATGACACGACTGCCATAAATACCCCGATTTGAACGGCAACGGTCAGTCCGCTCTCCATTTTTCATCACCGTTCTGTAACAGGTTATGAGCGTGTTGTGAACGTGTTCATACAGTGTGACCGTTTTCATAACGTATTCATACCGTCCTCATTCCGTTCAACACCATCCTCTTGCCGCTTACTTGCGGCCGGTGCCAGCCGGCCAAAGTTTTGAACATGCCCAAAACTTTCGCCGGGTCCCACCGGGTGTAAATAAGCGCCAACGCCCTATTAACGTGTTGCCCGCTTTGATAACGAACCACCGTGTGCCCTCGCCGTTCTCCACCGTCCGCAGACATTTTCGCGCACGGTGGCACACGGTAGGCCTACACGGCAGAGTGTGAGAGTCACTTAATCCAATTATCCAAACCCATATCTACTAGGCCTAGACTCTAGTCTAAATGATCAACATTGATTCATTTAATTTTAAGAGCATGAATAATTATGAGGTGGTCGTATATTCGTTGCATATTATAGAATCTTCAGTATTGAAGGAGGCAGATTATCTTGAAGAAGAAGAAGAAGACCAAATTAATCCGTCTACCTCAATGCCATCCTACGAGCCCGACGATAATAATATTCGCGTGCATGCCATGCCAGATCTACATACAGGTTCGCTCGGCGGAGGCCATGCGCCAAGGATCTCCACGCCGCCAGAGCTCCGTAAGTTACCGCTGTCTGATCGCAGGCGATGCTACAGCTGACTGACATCTAAATTAATTTTAACAACGATACCCAGCATAAAATCACACTTTTCAAAAAGATTAGAATAGAATTAGAAAACAAGGTATGAAATGCATTCGGAAATACAGGGCATTACCTCATACGACATAGCCATTTCCGTGACTTTTGGCAGCACTTCAATCAGAAAACCCGTGCACTCGTCTCGTCTAAGTATTTGAACCAGGGCGGAAAACAGAGAGGGCGTGAATTTTTTCACTAGAAATCCATTTGTGGCACAGTGGGTTGATGAAAACCCAGGTATGTGCACCTTAATTATTTTTTAAATTATTTAAATCACTGTGATATCATGAATCACTGATTTCTAGCTAAAAGAAATCTCAATTTAACAGAATTTTACTTTAACAATAATTGAATCGACTGATTTGACTGACTTGCAGTCCCACATGTTAAAAATTGTGTCACTCCTATCAATCTTGTAACACTTATGACATGTAGTCTATTTGGGTCTTAGTTAAGCTTTAACATGTATGATTGAGCTATGTCTGTGCACCTAACACTTCACCCGAAATTGATTAGAATTTTCTATCACATTCCCCTGGCTATTGACCGTGTATTTCATCTTCCGTATTCTAATTTCTAGATAGTGAGTTGCGATGTCGTGTGTAAAAAATCTCATCAAATTTGTTACAACAAATTAGTAAGAACAATGTCATTTTCGAAAGGCAGTGTGCCAATTTACTTACTTACTTGGGTATACTTCGTTGTAGAGACTGGAAGCTTTGCTTATTTGTCCCTCTTTTATTTTTCCATCCTGTTTTACATTGTAAGTGGTTCAAACTTAATTGGGATGACTTGCATGGCATTGGTTAATTTGACATTGCAAAAAACAAAGGTTTCCATGTCTGCACACTCACTCACTTTACACGCAGTTCAGGATTATTTACGTGAAAGATTGCATCTAGAGCCCTGTGAATAAAATTACTTGTATGAGATTTTCTCCTGAATTAGTTTTTACTTGTTGTTTCCATGGATATGTACTAAATTAGATATTAAGATTTAATGTTTGCTGCATGTTTTGTTATGTTAGAACTGGGAACTAGTTATGTGTAATTGCAGATATGGGCACTCTGGTCATATTTAGAGTCTCTATTAAAGTAGACACCTATCTGTATGTCCTGCACGCACAAAATCAGGACTTTTGTCATTCTTGATACAAACAGATTTTTTGGTGGCTGATTTTTTAAATTTCTTTTTTGGCAGAGTTGCAAATTTTCCTTCAGAGATTCAAGTGCTTGCCAGCCTGCTGCCGCCTCCTGTTAGGTTCCATATGCTATAAACAAAAAGGCACTTTTTACCTGCATGGTGCATGCTCATATTATAATGTTATTGTGCATTTGTGAAAATGCAATTATTTACTTCACCGTGGCACCTTACACTGACGGCGTCCAATGCACAGCATGCAGTATCATCATCCCATTATAGATTCTAGGAGCTACTGGAAGTGAAAAGGAATATCATTTCAAAGTTCGAGGTTCTTCTACAAGCCATCAGATTGTCAGAATTCCAGGACATATCAGTTTAAGTCTTTGGGCAACAGAAAAATTACAACTTCCTAGAAAATTTGCAGTGCTTATCCCAACCAGATTTTGAAAATTAGTTCAGACATTGGTTAGTGGAGCTCAGTGTATGAATCTGCACACATTGAACTCTATGCTATTTGTGCTGAAATTAACCCCTTGGCTACTGAACTCTCATTTTCCCCATTGATTTGATACAGGTATCACCATGTTCCAGAAAGTAACGGGTCAAACAGTTCAGGAGTTTGCAGCAAGCTAGGAAACCTCAATTTAAATATTGCATCTCTCTTTTGATTTTATTTGCAGTTGTAAACTTGGTTTGACGTGCCATCATGTCATCTCTATTTGATCAGTACGAGCAGGCTACTGCCCGGGCTGCGTCCAGCGTTCCTCATCCTCAACCAAGGGAGTCTGCTCCGGTGAGTAAGACTTACATGTACAGGGGGTGTTTCACAAAGATCCTAAGTTGAACTTATCTCTCTAAGTTGAACTAAACAATTATGGATAACCCGAAAGCTAAATTACATTGCAAGTTTTACAAGCTTAGTTTTAAAAAAGCTGTTAGCATTTTTGAAAATATTTTGTAAAATTTATTTCAAAAGACAAAATGTTGATTCAAATCATTCATATTTTCTATTATCATGGGAGACTTCATGTTCTTGATGTGGAATTTATGAAAAGTCTAAAATACTTGAATTTTTGCTTTTGAATATATTTAATTTTAAGGCTACAAATGGCTCTCCATAATTTTTAAGTCCAACTTAGAGTTAAGTTCGACTTAGGATCTTTGTGAAGCACCCCCCTGAGACAGGCTTGGCATCGTCAGGTATTCAAGGCAAAGTTACTTGTTTTCTAGGCCTTGGTCAAAATATGATATTTCTTAATATAAAAGGGGTAGGATCTTGTAGTATTAGATATGCATCTGATATATGAAATTTTCTAAGATAGCTGCCACATACACATGTACATCCATTCAAAGACCTATCAAATCAAATAAAGAAAGGTTATAACTTATACAGATATTTGAGAAATGATTCCCCCAAAATTGTATTTTGTATCTGCTTTTTTCTTTAGACTTGAAATTCAGTTATTCAGTTACCTATACAGTTACATTACATATTTATCTCTAAGATTTCTCAGTCTATGGAATGTTTACAGGCGTTAAAAAAATATGCATTTTACTATTTTTCCCCTACTCGCTTTTATCTAGATCTCATCTGGTTATGTCTCGGCTTCTCTGGAGGAAGATGTTCGCATTTTCTCAAGGAATAGGATAAGCTTTACGTAAGAAACTTTCTATAATTTTGTTTAAAGATTGTGATAATGTATGTCAGATGTTTATCAGCCAACTTTTAAATATTATTTTCCAAATTGCATTACAAACATTTAATTCTGTATAATTTCTTATTCTGTTAAGGATATTCATAATCTTCAACTTTTATTCAAAAAATCTTATGGCTGACAATAACACTTGGATCATTGATAATGAAATATCATACAGAAAGTTTTCCCATCTGCAGGAGGGGTTTAGTAAAATTGTATCAGATCGGAAATGTTCTGATGAGATATTGACACGTTTGCAAACAAAGAATAACAAGGAACAAACTTTAACCAAAAACAAATGGGCATTTAATAAGAAAGTAAAAGAAATGTTTTTCTTTGGAATAGTGCTCCGTTAGTTTTGACTGCAGTTTTCCTTTTCCTCTCCAAAGTGATTACAAAAATTAACCAGCTTTTCGGGGTTTTGGGGGGAGGGGGTCATTTTATCCCTTTTATGTGCAATGTCAGGACTATTTCCTATTACATTAGTATTAGAAATTACATGTACATATCATACTCTGTATAATTATGGCAAATTTGTTTGACTCCCCCGACCAATCTTGTTTATCTCTAGGCCTCCTAAACCGATAACTCACATGGTGGTAAACAATAATATCCTGATCATTGCCATGAAAGATCATTCGATACTCAGGATTGATAGAGAACACCCAGAGCAACCTGATGGTAAGCTTTATCTTCAGTAATAAATACTCTTCTTATGTACCAGGTTGTGTGTTTGTTTGTTTGTTTTCTTCTATTTTATGTTTGTACTTGTAGTTTTAAAGAAGAATAAACAGCTCTCAAGAGCTTTAATTTAATTGCTCATTACATATTTCATTGCTTTGTTTGTTTGCTTGTTTGTTTTCTGTAATGAAACTCTGTTTTTTCTTTTAGAGCTAAATCACTCTCAATGCCAATTTTTTCACTTTTTCAATCATATATGTGACTGCTTATTTCCTGCAAATTTATTGATGGACTAATGTATTTAACAATCAAAAAACAATTCAAATCCATTCATTAATTAATTTTGCTAGGGATCTGTTTAGGACAAGCCTGTAACAAGGTTTGTAGGCTACCAAGAGCACCATCTTTCCTTGAACAGTATTGTACTGGTCTAGATTAAAGCTAATCTTGAGCTCGGATATGTGCATCGTATCTCGAGAGAACATGGCTATTCATTCTGGATTGTTTATCTTGCGTACATTCATTTGAACCAGTAAAGTGAAAAGAACCTGACAAAAACTTACTGGAAATCATCTTTAATAAAAACCACAACTCTCATTTTCACATAGTGACTTATGTTATAAAGCACATTATGTCGGGCCTACTTATCCTTATCTTTCTATGCCCATTACTCAGCCCCTATACATATTCTACCAAAATCGTTTGGTACATGTCATATATTTGTAATCTTGAACATTCAGTGTAAGTTTTGTTGGATTCTGTGAGAATTTATTTTCTATCATTACCAGGACTCAAGCTAATCTTTACGCTCCCCTCTTCAGTACAGTATCATGTATGAGATGCAATGCGTACAAAACTAAGACACTGTAAGAAATTGCTCATTTGATTGTAAATCAGTAGAACCATATCACACTTTGATGCTTTAACTCCACAGAGGTCAAGGTAGGGGACGACCCGGTCCATCGTCTGTTCCTAGACCCTACAGGGCGCCATCTATTGATCAGCACTGAAGCGCAAGAGGTCTTCTATCTGTCTAGGAATAGCAAGAAATGCAAGAACCTTGCCAAGTTCAAGGTATTTAATACAGACTTGCACTCCTTCGTGTTTCTTCACAACAAAAGTAGAGGGCATAATTTGGTGTGGAGTGCCAGGAGTGTCAAGTTTTGACAGACATGAGTGTTATACAAGAACCCACTGTTATTATTTTTATTATTATTATTATTATATTTCTATCTTGCAGTACTTTGATACTCAAAACTAACATTAAAGATTGGTAAAGAGTGAGAAGATATTCTGGAAAGAAACTTACTCTCAGGGGGAAAAAAAGAAGAAAAAAAATTCAAATAAGTGTATGAGAAATGCACATGTAAATAATTTTTCCGCGAAAAAGCAAATCTGAAGTCTACAGCTAAACCATATTATGTTTTTACATAGAGAAATTATCTTTTATGTTGTTCATTTGAATTGTTTGCCTCATCTTCAAAATTGGAAAGGTCCCATTATTGAAGGCATTATTGATGTTCCAAATGATAGTTTTATTTAGCTATCTTCAAGGAGGCACTGTTCATTTTGTTCTTCATATTCTACCTATACCTTTTTGTCATAAAATACTGAAATTTTTTATATTGAATTTTTGGTATTTCCTTTGATATTTTCCTTGCAGGGTCATTTGATTGATTCAGTAGGCTGGAACAAGTCAAACACTAGTGATACTTCAACTTCTGAAATCCTTCTTGGCACAAGTCAAGGTAATGTTTCTCACAAATTTGGCTCTTTGGATAATTTTCAAAATCTATTAAAAGTAAAATTTGAATGGAGAAGTTTTTTCTGTGGTATGACAAATCTGTGATGCTTTGGTGATGATTGTGATTGTGATGGTAATAGTGATAGTGGTGATAGTAGTTGTAGTAGTGGTGGCAGACGATGGTGATGATGATGTTGTTGAGAACATAATGATAATGATGAAAGGACAGTTTCGCCTGTACAAAATTAATTAGTTTCTTAGAACTAAGTGTATATACTGTACCAATGCAGCATAATAATGAACTCTGTATGCAGTGCTTGATTGATCATTGATCTATACATTGCTTTAATCATACCTCATATTATGAAGTTTTTTCTTTTCATCATTATCCAATATGCTCCTTACTGATTGTGTAATTATTGCAGGAAATCATTTGACTTCAAGGATAAGTTGATAACGTTGATTGTCCATGGGTGAATGACCTAATTGATATTGTTTTGCTGTTTCAGGTGTGATTTATGAAGCTGAAATCCAAGCAGGAGAGGACAGTAGATTCTTTCAGCAGAGCTTAGATCAGTATTTCAAACAAGTAAAGATACCCTACATTTATCTCACATTTGATTCAGAATAAGATGTATCCAGCCATATGTTGATGTGTGTACAAACAAAAAATGATGGGCACAGCTCAAAACCACAAATAATTCATAAACCCAGTAACTACAAATAGTTCCAAAATGAATTGTCTTAAAACAATCAATTATCTATACAGTAGGCTTGCGGATGCACCATGTGAGAGAGAGAGAGAGGGAGGATTGAGGAGTCCTGAAAAGGACTCTTGGTAATCTTTCTCGAGGGTATGTAGTCCTGAAAAGGACTGTTTGTGTAGTCTTGAAAAAGACTGTTGGTTATCTTTCTTAGCTTTTGTTCTAAGGAGAACTATAGCGCCGATTAGAGAGGATGGGTGGCGGGAGTGGCTCGACGTTTGAACAGGTTGAATATCAGTCTCCTGATGACGGATAGTCAACCTGTTCGAAATTACCAAGAGTCCTTTTCAGGACTTCTCAATCCTCCCTCTCTCTCACGTGGTGCATCTGCAAGCCTACTGTATATCTACATCACCATGCAAGCCGATACTTACAAGCAGAATCAATTATCTGTCTGTTACAAATGTGTATCTATGTTAATTATCACTTTATCACATCCTAAATTTTGGAATCCCATTGCCTGAGAAATATCAATGTTGTTTATTTAAAATAACACTTCAAGAGGGATGGTCAATAATATTTCAACCTTAAAATTTGATAGCAAAATCATTATAAATGCTGCCCCTTTCAAACAGAAGAGAAAACTGTTTATTTTCATCATCTGTGTGTATTATTTCATCACTTTCTGTTGGGAAGATAACTGAGATATATGTAGAATGGTCTGAACATACTGGGCTTTCTTGTTTCTCTGCCAATCAACAATCTAATTAGTCAGGTGGCTTGGCGTCAAATTTATCGATTATCGTTAATTGCCAGATAAAAGCACCATTTTTGGTACAGAGCTTCCGTAGGACCTACTAAACGATATTAGACTAGGAGCCCCCAGCAAGAATTTCATATAAGGGTGTGGGGCGGGGCGTTGCCTCATAGCCCACAAATAATTAATAAGGTAATATAACATTGAGTTTTTGTTGTACAAACGCCATGGGGTTCCCAATCACACATATATGAATATTTATGCCGGTAGCTCCTACCCTACCATTATTCAGCAGGTCCTAATGAAGCCCTGTACCAAAAATGGCGAGTAACGGTAATTTCACTTAGCCACTTGATATGCTTTCATGAATGCGTGCTATGATACCTCTACAATAAGCTATGCATAAGGCATCAAAATTCATTACCTAAACATGAATGTTGATTATCCATAATTTCAGGTTTTCAGTCTTGGTAAAGAAGGTACTGTCCCAGTGACAGGGATTGAAGTAGAACGTATCCCAGCAACAAAAGCAGGAGAGGTTGCTAGGTTCTTTGTCATGGCAACCACACCAGGGTAAAAATTATTCACCTTTCTTCTGATTTTGGGAGGAGATTGACATCTAGATATATTGTGATATCTTTAACTTATATATATACTCAGGAATATAAATTCTAATATTCAGGGGCATTTTTTATTACAAGGCCACCATGGGCTTTTCCTTTGTTCTCCTATTTCATTTGAAGTTATCGTATGAACTGAACATTCTCTGCTTTAGTATGTATATATACTTGTATGTTTATTTGCTTTTGCTCTGTGTTTTATGAAAATGAAATGAATAAACGAACGAACGAACAAATATAGCAGCAGATGTCAGAGGCACTATCATCATTTATTTTTTTATTAGGAGAGATTGAAATGGAAATAACTGCAGATATCAGAGGCACTGTTTTGATTTATGTTTTTTTTTAATGCACATCGGGAAATCAATCAAAAGGTTATGGAAACAAGATGATATGGGTGGTATTAGTAATCTAAAACCCTTTTGGAAGAATACCTGTAATTCTGATTGTATCTGTGATTTTAGAGTAATCTGTACTGCAGTTGAATAATTCTTGTTATCACCTTTATTGAACTAAAGATCTATTTTCCCCTCAATGTTAATCATTGTTCTCTAAAGTTTGAGGAATATTTTAATTGAAACAAAATTGATAAAATTTAGCTACTTTCACAATATTGAAATGTTTAATAGTGTCTTAAATCAGGGGGGTGAAGCCTGCTCATTTATTTTCAATTATACTGTAAATATCATTTTAAATGTAGAATCAAATCAACAAGCTTTACAGTATCATGGTTAAGCTTGTTATTCACAAGGCATACACCTCCTTCACTTCCAGGGGAATACTATCTGAATAGCACAGGAGAGGAGATGAGTGTCATCTCAAAGGACACTGATGCTTTGGATGTCATTTGAACCAAAGCCATTTTAAGTCTGATGACCACTACAATATGTATATTAAGTTCTACGCTATTCACAAGATAAATTTGTTACTGGGAAATTACAAATGATCTTTGGTAGAAATTGCAGAGAATTGAAAAAGGTAGTCCAAATCACGTGGCTTCAATCCATCTTTCTCTTGACACAGGCGTTTGTACCAGTTTGTTGGAACCGTACCATCTCAAGCGGATACACCCATCTTTCTAAATGTTTTCCAGAAGTATGAAGACATCACACGTAAGTCAGACCATCATCAAAAATCTATACTTCTCTAGATAGAACCAGGAGGTCGTTTCTCAAAACCGTCATAACTACAAGATTAACAATATCTCAACGCTGTCGCTCAACTTGTTCAAACAGATTGAATTAGATTAAGCTTCATAATCTCTTTTGCTAATTCAGGATAAAATCTGATGGATCATGACAAAGACTATATTTTTCTAGCCAATAGTATCGAAATCATGAATTTGTCACTGGTCATGGTTTTGTAAAACTGGTTGTCCGATTCCTGACATCTCCGTAGGTCACGGACAAAAATATGACTGTCATGAAGTTGGTTTCATGAAACGACCCCAGGGGTACAATCGAAATTGCAATTTTTCTTGAAAAAACTGGGACGATTCAAGGAATTAGAAACAAAGTTGCTATCTTCACGCTTTTCTATTTCACACATGGTTTCTTTTGATGTCTTGCAACCAATTATTCTGTGCTCAGTTTTATCCAGAAGGACTGAAGATCATTCCCAATTGCTGTACTTCATACACATTGGTGATAGCTGGGTGTTAAATGGGCACCTTGCAGGGTGGATATGTGCGCTATACAATTATATCAAATATTATTATTATTATTATTATAGCTGTGACATGATTATATGTGAACGATGAATTTCTACTTCTTTTCTTAACTACAGCCAGTTTCTTGGAGTTGCCAGGCAACTTTGGTTACAGTAAGCTTGAACAGTACTGTCCCAAGGCTCGAGGACTACCCAAGACGTTTGCATGGATGACAGGTATGTTGTATCCAAACAGTAATATTGTATATCCGTTACAGTAGAAACAAAAATATTAGTGAGTTATTTTGAACAAATTCATGTACAGTATATTTTAGTAATTGACCTATTGAAATGAATAAGGTAGAGAAACTCAGGATGAAATGTCATCATCTGCAATAGGGTTTAACTGGAAATAGCAACCCATATAGAGGTGTTCATGGAGATATGGATATGGAGTTTGCAATATCATTGCTAGTTCACAAACTAAGCACTTTTATTTTTCTACTTATCTTGACACCATTTTTTGTCTCGCCTGCGTAGCAAAAAGCGAGACATACACAGAGCTGCCAACTAGTACGGATTTCCCGTAATTGGTACGGAAATTAACGACCATTACAGAATGTTGTCTCAAATTACGGATTTAAAAAAAAAAAAAAAAAAAAAGATTTTTTTATTTTTTTATTTTTTTTAATTTTTTTTTTATATTTTTTTATAATGAATTAAATATGATTTATCGTAGCGAGTGCTGTGAATAGGAGCCATTTTTCATGATAAACTGTGTTGTGATGACCTGAAATTCAATACTTAACATCTTTGTGTGAGTAAAATCACCAAAAATTTCAGATAATCATGCGTCCGCGCAGTGTTGGCGTGTCGTTTTTTTAGATTCATAGCGCCGCATAAGAAATTACTGATTTATACCCCAAATTACTGATTTTGAGCCTTGTGATTACTGATTTTCTGTTCTGGAGGTTGGCAGCTCTGCATACATGTAGGCGCCGCTTTTCCGGTGACGGCGGCGACGGCAGCGGTGGCGTCAACATCAAAAACTTAACCGAAGGTTAAGTTTTTGAATTTTTGATATAATTTTGAAAGTATAAGTCCTTAGTCAATGAAACTTGAACTAAAGAGTTAGCAAGTATCCCCAATCATGTGAGTTGAATTTCAGGTCACAAAGTCAAGGTCAAAGGTCATTTCAGGTCAACAGACTTAGACTATGTTGTGGCATTATCATCGAAAACTTAACCTAAGGTTAAGTTTTTGAATTTTTGATTGATTTTGAAAGTATAAGTTCTTAGTCAATGAAACTTGGACTATAGGGTAATCAAGTATCTCCAATCATGTGAGTTGAATTCAGGTCACTATGTTAAGGTCAAAGGTCATTTTAGGTCAACAAACTTAGACCATTTTTGTGGCATCAACATCAAGATTTTGAATTTTTAGCATATTTTCAGAAGTGTTTGTTCAAATTCCATGAAACTTGTACCCAAGGGTTATCAAGTATCACAAATCATATGACACAAATTCCAGGTCACAAGGTCAAAGGTCATTTTAGGTCAGTAGACTTGGATTATGTTTTCACAACATAATATGAGAATAAATGAATCAATTTTTGTTATTTGTTCATGATTCTTAGTCAATATTCACTTCAAAATGCTGATTATATTCAGAGGATTTCATTTTTTGAGGCCTGATAATGGGCCACCCTGCCTATAAATAATGTTCCAACCTCAATTTTTCATCATTTCAAATTACGTAATGCAGGCGAGAATGCCGAGAGCGTTTCCCTTGTTTAGCTTTCATACTAGAGTCATGTAAGACTTCTTTCTAGGCTATACTAGTATATGGGTTGTTTGATTGAGCAAATACAAACATTTCTGAGTATTGTAATATTCTCTGAAATTCACATTAGATCTGTACAAACGAATCAGTACTGGCAATACTGATAAATTTTCTTTTCTCTGCTTCAAGGTATAGACCAATTTTGGAAACGCACCTTCTCAAAAAATTAAATGGAAGCTCTTATTACCAATCATGTGAAAGAATATGTTTTGACTAATACGTGATGATACAAATTTTGCCGGGAAACCACCTACTAATTGATATATTTGGTAAATTATTATATCTATCTGGACCGGGTAGATATCGCGCACATGTCGCGTAGTGATCTAGTCCCATATACATCTTTCTGTGTACAGTGCTTGTAACTTTACCAAGACTGGGCCAAATTTCTTATCATTTTGATGATTCCAGAACCTTGCAGTACACACCGATACTTATATGCTAGATGATCAACCTTTTCTGATCGATTCCACAACGTTTCTTTCACAACGCAATCGGATGACCAGAACTGGTCTTTACTGACCTTTAACCAATATTAGACCAACTCTATCTCTCTCTCTCTCTCTCTCTCTCTCTCTCTATCTATCTATAAATCTATCTATATCTCTCTTCCCTTCTTCATCCCATTCTCTCTTCCACTTTCTCTTTCCTCCCCTCCCCTCCCCTCCCCTCCCCTCCCCTCTCCTCCCCTCCCCTCCTATCCTCTCCTCTCTAGGTCCTGGAGTGTACTTTGGTAGTTTTGATTTCAGTAGCCAGTCCAGAGACAACCTGACCTGTGACAGTCATCTCTTACCTTACCCAGCCAGAGACCAAGAGAGCTTCCTAAGACCCATCTCAGTCGTCCTTACTGAGTTTCATGTTCTTCTACTCTTCCAAGACAGGTATATTGAAAAACCTGTCTACAAAGACCACCCAAGGGAGACAAGAAAAATTGTCCTTATGGGCAGGTGGTCTTAATGCACAGGTTCCTTAAGTACGTGTTCTTCCACTCTGCCAAGACAGGTAAACTTCATCCTGGCATGTTATTGATCTTTTAGTACAGCGAAACCTGTTTATAAAGACCATCCAAGGCAGACAAGAAAAGTGGTCCTTATAGGCAGGGGGTCTTTAAATTATGTACAGGTTCCTTTAGTACATTTTTCAAAGAGAAACTGTTTTCAAGGGAAACAAAAAATGTGGTCTTTGTAGACAGGTGGTCACTAAAGCAGGTTTGACTGTACATGAATGAAGTGTCTCTGTTGCTCTCATGAATATAAAAATCATGATCAAGTTATCATAAATGTATCTTTTTCTTCCAATATGCTCACATCTGATTTTAATTTCTTGAAAATGTCCTTTCATTGCCAATTACCATCCAATTCAAATTTTAGTATTCACACTTCATTTGTTATATCCATTTTAAGGTTGAAATTTATTTGCTTTTTGAGAGAGATAGAACGGGAGGAATATGCGAAGGAGAGAGAAAGGAGGCAGAGGAATGATAGAAAAGAAGAGAAAAAGAGAGAGAGAGAGGGGGGGGGGGGGGGGGAGTGAGATATAAAGGAAAAAGGGGATAGAAAGATGGAAAGGACAGTTGCCATGCTTTAAGTGTTTTGTATGCAAGATGGAGATGATAAAATTTAGAATATTAATGAGAGGGTATTCCCATCCATTGTTTAAATCCACTTGCCTATTTTTAGAGTTAAATCTACATTAGATATTACATTCATGGAAAGCAAATCACATTTCGTCAATGAATACAGGAAAAGCAATATTCATTCTTGATAAATTTGAGCTCATTTTATAAAAGTTTTCTCAAGTTAATTCTGTGCAGAATGCTGTACTTTACTTTTATTCTCGACAGGATATAATTCTTTGTGATATATTGGTACAATCATTATTACAATCTTAATTTATTGTTCAATTCTTTTTACAGAGTGAAGATCCTGTGTGTCCTGAATGAACAGCTCATCGATGAAGATATCTCTCAGTCTGTAAGTATATGTTTCGTATTTACTATGAAATCATTAGAAATAATGAGAAATAATGACATCCTGCAAACTTGGAAAGATTTAAAAATGTCATATTGGCTTCTCTACCTGTACATGTACATTGACCTTTTGAAGTAACAAAGATTAAGGCAGCATTTAAAACGAAACAATCCTGTGGTACAAAGTACTTTATTTCATTCATTTATTTCCACATCAATATAAGAAACCGTATCAGGACAATTACCCCCTGGGCAATCACCCCCCCGGGCAATTACCCCCCCGGAAAACTACCCCCGTAGGACGATTACCCCCCGGAAAATCCCCCCCCCCGGAGAATTACCCCCCGAGGACAATTACCCCCCAAGGACAATTACCCCCCGGAAAATTACCCCCCGGAAAATTACCCCCCGAGGACAACTACCCCCCGAGGACAACTACATGTACCCCCGAGGACAATTACCCCCATGGACACTACTGGGCATGGTGGCTCAGTGGTTAGAGCGCCCGCCTCATGATCGGGAGGTCGTGAGTTCGAACCCCGGCCGAGTCATACCAAAGAATTATAACAATGGGACCTTCTGCCTTCTAGCTAGGCGCTCAGCATATTAGATTGGAGAAGGGTGGTAATAACATATAAAGTTATGCAGGGCCCGCTGGAAGAGCAGTTTCCGCTGGAAGAGCAGTTTCATAACTGAAGTGGCTACGCTGGGTAAATAAAACGTTATTATTATTTTTATTATTATTATTATTATTATTATTACCCTCGAGGACAACTATCCCCCAGGAAAACTACCCCCGAGGACAACTACCCCTCCCCCTTCGAGGACAATGACCCCCAATGACAATCACCCCCAAGGAATTTATAACACTGTGACGTATAACGCAAGCTTCTCTCCAAATTGCTATTTACAGAAAATTGCTTAAAACCTTCATTTTCTTTGTTATTTACACTGTATGAAGTTCATTTCAGTCTTTTCAAATTATTCAATTCGATATGGGGGGTGGAGGTTGCCTAATTCCCCTGTAGTTTTGCTACCGAGTAAAGAACAGAAATTACATTTCTTAGAAACTGAACAATACAGCGCGCAGATGAGTACGCGTTACAGCTTCTCTCACCATCAATGGCACAACAAAGAAATTAGGATGTAAGATTTCCTTTATGCATCCTCTGTAACTTTTTTAATCAGCTGATCGTGTATTTGTCTTTGTTTGTATAATGGGCCCTCGTCCATGCCATGATCCATAATTAAGGTTTTCTTCACGTTATCCATTATTTCTGTTGTCGTGCTGAAGTATAATATGTTTTCGTGTATGTTAAATTATTTTGAAATAGAAATTGCCTTCAAGTAATATGTACGGTGCCATGTCAAAAGATAATAAATATCCGCTCTCTGGTAATTTATCTCATTTGATTTTGTAACGCTAGTACAGCGTTTTTCAACCGGGGTGCCGCAAACGAATGATTTGGAAAACGTTGATTTTGTAAAAAAAAATCAAATACCAGAAACGGTTAAAATATGTAATTACATGAGAAAATAGATTTTGAAGATACTACAGTGTCTTCCTTCCTCGCTCGCTGACAATATCCTAACAGCAAAGCAAATAAGGGCAACGAGAGGCCCGAATATCCTCAAGATCATGACCGAATATATCACTTTTTATTTATGTACATTTGGCGGCAAGGTGCCCGCATACAGTGCTTTAAATAGTTTCTAGTTTGTGGATTACAAACTAATTTTTTACCAGTTTGAAAAAGTCTTCTCCTATTTATTCTTAAATGTGCCCATACGTGCAGGCGCGTACGCAGGGGGAGGGGGTGTTTGGGGGTTAACCCCCCCCTTTGGTATTTTTATGTGTATAAACCCCCCTAAAAAAAAAAAAAAATATTCCCATGGCTGACCCAAAAAAGACGACCTTACCCCCCCCCCCCCCCCCCCCCAACGGTCAAATTTTCAAAAGTGTCCTCTTCCCCCCCCCCCCACCCCCCCCCCCCCCCCCCCCCCCCCCCCCCCCCCCCCCCCCCGCTTATTCAGCGGCTGGCTGAGTCGATGCGAAATTTTCGGCCCGATTTAAAAATGTTAAACCCCCCCCCCCCTTGAAAAAATCCTGCGTACGTGCCTGCATACGTGTGTGCATAGCACTTGACGAGAGCCAGAGTCATGCAAAATTAATAATCTGTAAAGACTTTGGGATTAGGGAGAAACTTTTCATTTCTTAAGAGGGTACCGTAACTAACAAAAAGTTAAAATAACGCTGCTCCAGAGAAATATATTTCTATGCATTTTGAAAAGCGCTGGACAATTACCTAAAACTTACGTCCTTCGTGGAAATTAGCAACCGCACTGGCGTTGCATAAATTATAATAAAAGTGAAATGGGTAGTAATGAGGAAGACAACATGATAAAGTATTTGAATGCCTATGGGTTCATCCAGGGGATCTTATGGGCTCGAAGCTATCTCTCAATGTGTCAGATCGTCTTTTGCTATTGAATCCTGATTGTCCACGGGGGGTAATTGTCATCGGAGGAATTGTCCTCGGGGGGTAATTTCTCGGGGGGTAATTGTCCTCGGGGGATAATTGTCCTAGGGGTAATTGTCCTCGGGGTTAGTTGTCCTCGGGGGGGTAATTGTCCTCGGGGGGTAATTCTCCGGGGGGTAATTTTCCGGGGGGTAATTGTCCTTGGGGGGTAGTTGTCCTCGGGGGGTGATTCTCCGGGGGGTAATATTCCAGGGGGTAATTGTCCTTTGGGGGTAGTTTTCCGGGGGGTAATTTTCCGGGGGGTGATTGCCCAGGGGGTAATTGTCCTAGAACCATAAGAAACAATATCATATAATCTTCAAAATTCAAACATATATAATGACATCTGGAGTGGGAGAATCATGAAAAGAACATAAATGGCTCGTTAAAAATGACCCTCACAAAATATACTAAATAACAATAACTTTGGTACATAATTTACATAAAATCAAGATTACGAAAAAGGGAAAATAAAGAAAATAGAGAAAAGAAGGAGGAAACATTGCATAAACATAGACATTGTAAAGGCAAATTAATTATTGGAAATTGTTAAGTAGTAGTACAGTGTGGCAGTATGGAGCTACAGCAACAAAGTAGTAGAAGAAGGCAGAGCTGAAGGAAAATTGGCATGAAAGAAGTATGTGATGTGTAATATGTAATGTAATATTGTGGTTATGATTGATATTACCACATTTGTTGATATAAACGGTGCCCATTTATGTTTTCTTTCAGAAGTTTGGTCGTCTGATGGGGCTGTGTAGAGACAGAATCAAGGGTACTATCTGGGCTTTCACTGACACGTCAGTCTTCATGTATAAGATAGTCAGAGAAGCAAGGTAAATATAATGCTTGAAGGTTAAAGTTCTGGTAATGGTAATGGTTTCGGTATAGATTTGAGTGATTTAACCCACTTATTGTTCAGGTCTTAGACTGGCCTTTTAACTCTGTTAGAGTGTTTGTTTTGATTTGGTCAGGATTTACTTTGCCTGTTTAAAGTAGATATTCATTGATTTAAAAAACTAACTTTATTTCATTATTGCAAAGTTGAAACTTTGATTCGACAAGGTTATCAAAATTCAATGCTTGGAAACATTCGAAGTAATGATTATTATAAATTATAAAACGCTTAAATACAGCCCCGGCATAGCACCTGAAGAACTCTCCGAACGCTGCAGAGATGTGTGAGATCACAGTATGGACATGACTTGCACAAGCAGACGATGTCGCATGACATCTCACACATTTTCAGTGCCTGTGTTTTCATCTTATCTCGAGTTTTTTCTCTTACTTCACTACCGTCAGGCTAAATTTATAATATATTGCCTCACTCTAAACCCCGCGCATGGTTTTATTTTGATGACAAATGCAGCGATACAAAAATAAAGGAATCTGTCGCTTGTAAACAATTTAAGACGCCATTGAATATTCAGCTGCACACACCGCGGTATGTTCGGCGTTTCAAGAGGGAACAAATGCCGTCCTTAATATCATTCCGGGTGTTTTCAATTCGAAAGTCTGGTTTCTTTGATTGTTAATTAACCCCTATCCTGTGTGTTTACAAGCAAAAGATTTTAGTTATCGGAATCGGGTCATATCCCTTTTGAATGGTTTGACATGCCATCACATTTATATACACTAAACTCATTATAATTTGACAACTAAAAGCTTTGCAATTATGTTCATTCTCTATGGAATGTCGTCTGCTTGGGCAGTATTGGTCCATATAGTGACGTCATTAAAACATCGTTATTTTTCCGGCGAATCTCTCGTATATCCCAGCTGCTATGCAGGTGGTTGTATTTGTATTTTTATAAATCACCCGATATGTATTTGACCTAAAACTTGTACGATGGCCATATGTTAGCTTACCAGTTTCTAGTCATACATTAGTTGACATATTTGTGATTTTCTTTGAATTTCACCTTTAATAAATCTATGTTATCTGTATTTCTGTCATTGGCATTCTTATCAATCATATATGTAGATTTCATACAGAGCTTTGCTACATGTGGGTCTTTCCCTCTCAAAATCTTACCATATTTGATAGATAGGATAAAGATCATTTTAAAGAGATGATTGGTTCTGTAAAATCACAGAATAGTAACAACGCTGGTATACTAAACCTTTATGTACTGCACTTATCACAGGGAATCGCAAAAAATGACTGAATGACAGAAATTTGAAATCGGACAATATAAACGGAAGCTAAAGGAAAAAAGTGCACAAAAAAATAATGGGCTGTTATTGCCTGCCGTAGTAGTAATATAAGTAGAACTAGTACATGTAATACCAACTTTTTAATCAAAACAGGCTGTCCAATTTCGGTTTTCTGTTCATTCTTGCGATTTACACTGATGACTGTAAGACAAAAAACTTTAGTATGTCTCTAGTTGTTGCTATACAAAGATCATTTTTGAAGGGATTCAAAGTCCAATTGTCTGATGGTTACCAGACTTGTTATGAGCATGTTATAAAATGATTTTCTACGTGTACCCACTAATTGTAGGGTGGAGGTGACGCAATAACATTTTATAGTGCTTGATACATCGACGATATCTCTAAGCGCTTTACAGATGTATTATTACCCTGGTCATCCAATTCAAGCTTACCCACACACAATGTATGCACATTCTCCACTCCCTGGGGAGCATTCCAGCCAGGCATACCACTTGACTTGTTTTTCACGAAAGAAGTATTAATTGAAAGTACAGTGCAATGAATGAATATCGCAGGAATGTTTACATTTGACAAACTGACAATATTGTATTATATTCTGTTGAATACAGGGATGTTTGGAGGATCTATCTTGATAAGGGTGACTTTGATCGAGCTAAGGAGTTTGTCAGGGACAACCCTGCACATCTAGACCAGGTCATGAGCAGACAGGCGGAACACTTCTTTGAAATGAAAAAGTAATTATTAAAGCGAGTTTAATGATGTATGGTTTGAATATGAATAGTTCTATTACATGTACTACATGTATATTGATAGTTTTTTTTCTTTCTTTTCTTCAATTTTGTCAACTGGTTGCCTAATGGAACCAGGCTGTTCCTTTAGTAAGCCTATTGGAATGATAGAATCCAGTAGTCAGTGGGTTAAATTGATAGCAGTATCAGCTCTGTCCATTATGATGATGAGGGAGATGAAGATGATGTTGATAGGAATGATAAAGGCAGTGATCCTAATCTTGTGCTATTAAACCGTGATATATATTTGCTGTGAAAAGTTATTGAATTTTCATTCTTTGGTGTGAATAGTTATAGGATCTTCATTCTCTGTTGTGAAAACTAATGGGATTTTTTATTCTCTGTTGTAATAAACAGTTATTTTGCTGTACTCACCAATGCATAACCTGGAGAAGAAACAGATGAGATAGTTTGTTTGATAGCAAAAATGAAGAGTCAGGCCCACAAAACATTTATTGAATATTGTTACATGCATTTTCATCTGTCATATTCTTCATGTATTACACCAGGTTTAGAACTGCTGATATATCATTTATCATGATAGCAATAGTTGCTGTGCACAATGACGATAACCCATCAAAATTTCATCCAGATGGGAATATTCCCTGAAGATCATTACTCATTCTGAAAGGAAATTTCAATTACACACATGATATTTCTGTTCCTCCACAAATAATATGTGTACATGTATGAAGTCATCCATACATTAATGTAGCATTTCATCGTTTCAAAAGGAGCATCGCAGCAAACTCTCTTGAATTTATTTGTCCATATTGAAGCACCTTCTTGTTGCTTTGGATAAATAAATCGGTTTAATTTGAAGGTAATATAGCAAGTGTCAATAATTCAAAAGGAGGTCGTGTGACTATCATTGATTGGCTGCTTATGTTACACAAGTTCTAAGAAAGCATGTATAATATGTTGGTCAGTATGCTCCAGAGGACATACAGCTTAACATCCTATCCAAGGGACTAAGTCAATCTTCAAATACAGTGAAACCTGTTCATCAAGACCACCCAAGGGAGACAAGAAAAGTGGTCTTTATATGCAGGTGGTCTTTGTAGACATGTGCCTATAGTAAATGTTTCAATGAGGAACCATTTTCAAGGGAAACAAAAAAAAGTGGTCTTTCTTTGCAGGTGCTTGTTAAAGCAGGTTTGACTGTATAAGTAATGGCAGTAACATCCTTGGTTTGTTTTGGGTTGCCCCATTTCAAGATCATCGTAAGTGATTGAATCTTTAATAGTCTTAGCATTTTAGGTTACAGCATGTTGTGATTTTTACTTGAAAGGTATGACAAGAGTGCCATGTATTACGCCATGACGGAGAAGTCTTTTGAAGAGATCTCCCTGAAGTTCATCGAAGCCAAGCAGACGGATGCTCTCAAGGTCTTCCTCATGAAGAAGCTTGGTGCTCTCAAGGCCGAGGTAGGTTTGAGAGCAGGCTTATTTTCTCATTCATTCATTCATTTATTGTTTACCAAATTGTCCAAGAAAAATTTCAGAATAACAGTGTTTAATAAGTATGCAGTTGGCGAATCGAGCCAACCAATAGCAAAAGTTCAATCCACCATAACTTATGACAATAAAGTTATCTTAAATGATAATCACTGAATCGTAATTTGTTTTGATTTGCATCAAATTCAAAGCATTTCTGTGTAAGCAAGTATGTTTATATACACACAACAAATATATAACTCTAAAATGTATACACTATTCATATTTGAATTATTAAACACATTTCAATAATTTTCTTCATTTTTATACGTATGTAAAATTGATTTCAGTGGTGGTCATAGTTGTGTGAAAGTCAATTGAAATGATTGTCCTTGCTTAAAATGTACACCCTCAATCTCAACCAACTAGAAGCATATATTGGAAAGGCAAATATCAATTTTTATTGTATTCTTCTTTTCTCTGATTTCTCCCTAGGATAAAACCCAGCTGACCATGTTAGTGATGTGGCTGATTGAGCTCAATCTCAATCAGCTCGGAGCAGCGAGGGGCAAAGCTGATCAGCAGACTAGGTTCAAGGAACAGCAAGAAGAATTCCAGAAGTTCCTGGCTACCACCAGGGTCATGGTATGTACATTCTCTTATTAGTTGGATCATTTGTAGTGGGCTCTTATGAGGAATTTACCCAATATACCCAATAACAAGTGTTCTCAATCACCAGGATTAGCCTTCAGTTTTCTGACCAACAAGCCTTATGTTAATGCTCTGCATTTCCCAACTATTGCCCAATATGGAAAAGTTGTTATCTTACATTTCCCACACATTTCCCTCACCTGAAGACTCTCTGATAGACTAGGGGGTATTTATTGATGGGACCCCATGTTGCTGTGTGCATAACTTTTACACCCATTAATAGTATTTCTGCCAAGTCTGGTGTCAGTGAATTTTGACCTACTGCACAACTGACTACTATCTCCTTTTAAAATGTAAAGCCAAAGATTATTCTTTGGCTGCAATATAGTGGCATAAAGTAAGTACATTGTTCAATTTTCCCTGCATTACTTCAGATTTCTGAAGAATGGAATGTGGTCACTCGACTCTCTCACAGTGGTGGAGATGCTCCAGGACTAGTGTTTGTTTCTGCCTCAGAAAAGAACCCTTATACATATTCCTGTATGTTAATTATGCGCATGAGCAGAATGAGAAGGCAAAGGGGTGTGTGACCACATCTATTCAAGGAATGCACCATGATTGCCTATGGGGATTACATAACATTTATGAATATGTATATTATTTTTTAACTTGAGTTTATTCCTCAATATTATCTAAATGGACTCATCTGCATATTTGCAGGACTACCAGTATGTACAGTATGAACTGGCCATTCCGCCCACTTATTAAGAATGATAATATATACAGCATAGTAATATAGCACACTTCTTGTACACTTTTCTGAACCACAAGACGACATTGACAAGAATGGTATAATGATAAACTTATTAAAAGTTACCTATATTTGAAGACATACATTTATGAAGTATTAATGCGTGTGTAGAGTAGAGAATGTAGGACACATGAATTGTATTAATAATTGACCTATGGAATGCGATATACTTCATGATCAAATTGTCAATTACAGTTATGCAATACTATTGATTTTTGACAGGAATGCCTCAGCAGCAATGTAAACACAGTGTATGATCTGATAGCTAGCCATGGAGATGTGGAGAATATGGTCTACTTTGCAATGCTCATGCAAGGTAAAAAATATCTCATTCTCTTATTTATCGTTGCCCTTGTGTAATAACATCAATTAGTGTAACAGAAAGTATTTTGCTCACTCCTTGTAAAATGCCATCACTCAAATATACTCTGGCCAGAAAGATTGTGATATTATATAAAGTAGGAATGTACAGCATTAGATTTCATGATGGAGACATATTCCTGTAAATACTTCTGTGAAGATCAGAACAAATTTCTTTTTCTTTCTTCATTTATTTCATTGGTTTTGTCTCATCATGATGTTTATTGTATCCTTCCTTCATCCTTACAGCACTGAAGGTAGTTTTTAAACCACCAATTCTGTCATATCTAATCCTCTATTACAATAACGAATCTATTGTGTTTTTTTTCTTCTTTTGGCTTTTAACCTTGTAAATTGTGGCTTTTTATATGAAGGAACATTGTTTTTGTTAAGATTGACAGTAACAACGAGACAATGATTAGAAACTTGGTCATGGAATCTTAGTTATATATATATATATATATATATATATATATATATATAAATATACTGTGTGAGTCGAAAAAAGTTTACACCTAGAAAATTGCTAATTATTTAAAATAATCATCTATGAACAGCAAATTAATATTCATTTTATGAAAGAGTGTTTTATCCGAAATCATTTGGTATCGTTTTTGTGTGGTATGTGTTCACGCTTGGATGAACAGGAGGCATTGTTTGCGAGAGTGCAAAAATCAACTTGCGCCAAAGTGATGCCTACAGCATGTATTATATTGGGATTAGCGGAGTGAGAGAATGAATTGAATGTATCAAATGAAATGCATTGCATATGCTTTTTGTAGAAGCAAAGTCAAACACGCACATACACACGACTTATACACGTGAACACATACCACACAAATATAATACCAAATGATTAGGGATAAAATACTCTTTCATAAGATGCATAATAATTTACCCTTTCATAGATTATTTTTTTAATAATTAGCAATTTTCTAGGTGTAAACTTTTTTTTGACTCACACGGTATACATATCTGTAAACTTGTTAGCAATGTAATGGTTGAGGTTATGAACCATCCCGAAAAATCAGAGAAGACCTTTCTGGATATCTCCTTAGTCATCATGTTGTCATATTGACATTTAAACTGTACACAGATTATGAGAGAGTGATCAGGCATCACATACAGAATGAGGACTACACCGCGGTCCTGGGTGTTCTGAGAAAACCAACGAACAGCGCGGCTCTCTTCTATAAGTTCTCACCTGTACTGATGCAGCACATCCCCCATGACCTGGTATCGGCGTGGATCGAGCAAGGCAAGGCGCTGAAGGCGAAGAAACTCATCCCATCCCTGGTGCAGTGCGACAGTGGACCCTCGGAGATGCAGGTAATGAAGGGGTGTGTACTGTTGCTATGGTGATAAGATGGAGATGGAGATGAGGGTGGTTTTTTAGGAGTTGGGTTTTGGTATTAAAAGGATGGTGAGAATGAATGGATAAACAGATAACAGGAGAAAAGTGCTTGTAAAATGTGGCAGGATGTAATGGAAATGAGTTAAAGATAAAGATAAGGAGGATGATCGTGGTGGTGATGATGATGATGATGATGGTGATGATGATGATGATGGTGATGATGATGATGATACTGATGATGATAGTGATGATGATGATGATGGTGATGATGATGATGATAGTGATGATGGTGATGATGATAGTGATGATGATGATGATGATGATGATGATAGTGATGATGATTATGGTGATAGTGATGATGATGATGACAGTGATGATGATTATGGTGATAGTGATGATGATTATGGTGATAGTGATGATGATGATGATGATAGTGATGATGGTGATGATGATGATGATAGTGATGATGATAGTGATGATGATGATGATGATGATGATGATGATGGTGATGATGATGATGATGATGATGATGATGATGAGATGATTATGGTGATGATGATGATGATGATGATGATAGTGATGATGGTGATGATGATGATAGTGATGGTGATAGTGATGATGATGATAGTGATGATGATGATTATGGTGATGATGATGATGATGATGATAGTGATGATGGTGATGATGATGATAGTGATGATGATAGTGATGATGATGATGATGATGATAGTGATGATGATTATGATGATGGTGATGATGATGATAGTGATGATGATGATGATGGTGATGATGATGTTTATGGTGATAGTGATGATGATGGTGATAGTGATGATGACGATGAAATGTGCAAGGACTAAAAATGGCTTTGCTTAGTGAGTAATGAGATTAAGGAACGATTAAAGACCATAAATTTGACTTGAATGATAGCAGAGATGCTTTATGCAAGAGGGTGCCCAGGATAAGGATAAACATTATGAAGATACATGCCGATACTTGATATTCATTGACTATTCACTCTATGAGTAAATATGTGGTGGTCCATATGGTACCTCTGTTGAAAATGAAAAGCACTATCTTTATAGGTAGCTTTGTACTGCCATTCACCTATTGATTATTATTACTTTTCTTGTCCTCGTCATTGATAGGTCCTGGAAGCCATCCGATATCTTGAGAACTGTATCAAGAAGCTGGGAAACAAAGAACAGGCCATCCACAACTATCTCTTGTCTCTCTACTGTCAGCACCAGCCCTCCAATCTGATGGGCTACCTAGCAGCTCAAGGAGAGGTATGTATCTTTAGTTCATGTCACAGACCACTATACAATAGAAACATGACCATCTAAAACTTGTCTTCTCTCTCTGCACTGTGAGCGCCACCATTTTTTAACAGCCTAGGGAGAAGTGTCCTCACCTATATTGCAGACTTTAAGTTATTATTTAAATTTTTTTGAACAATAACTAAGTGCTGATATTACAAGAGGGCAATGCATATATATATATATATATATATATATATATATATATATATACACAAAATGTATAAACTATATATATTATGATAGAAAATTATGCAGTACATGCTATAATAATTACAATGGGAAATAATTATAGTAGTTTAATATACCCAGTTAAAAGAAATTCAAAGTGACAGGCATTGCTAATCAGCAATAAAAGTACATTCTTCACTAATTATTGGATGAAAAGAAAACTCTTGTCAAGTCTACCTTTTTGTCCATTGAAGTAATACATGATGGTATTGCAAATGGCTTCAACAAAATTGTCTTTTTTGGTTAAACTTATAATTTATATGAAAAAAATGTTAGCAAAATGATTCATTTTCTCTTCTTGATTTAATATATTCATCAATGTACTTTGTTGCTGCAGATTGCAGATAATGTGAACTATGACGTGAAGTATGCCTTGAGATTATGTGCTGAGCGAAAGCACTTCAAGGCCTGCGTTCACATCTACACTACAATGGGACTCTATGAGGAAGCTGTGGACCTAGCATTGCAGGTAAATAATAATATTCAGTTCTTGTATAGCGCATATCACATTATAACGTCCCTATGCGCTTCCAGAGAGCTTTGGAAGTTATTACTCTAGCTTTAGCTCTAGCAGCGGTTATCAGCGCACAGTCTATTTCAAGGAACAATCCTATCAGGTACCCATTTACTTCATTTGGGTCGAGTGTGGCAAAGGACATTAGTGCCGCGGCAGGACTCTAACCACGGGCCTTGTGATCCATATATTCACTCGGCCACGACAACTCTATCAAAACAAAACAAAATCAAACAGGGCGGTATATGGATTGATGAAACTGAGATGCTTTAAAATCGCAAATGATCATCGAAGATTGCATATATCCTTGCAAATTGTTGACTATTTGGTAGCTTGTAATTAGGGAATATTTTGGTCCTTCCGAGGTCTACAAAGTTGTTAATTATTTCTTTGTCTAATAATGCAAACAATAATTTTGTTTACCAGAAGATGTGCAGTTTGTTAGAAAAGGACAGAAATATCTAGATTCTATGTATTTTGTACAGCATTTCAAAATACATTTCTATACGAAAATGCATAATTATTACTTTGTCACCACCAGAATGTACCCTTGCCATGTATTGTTTCCTATTTGTGTTCATTGTAAACTATGTCTGAGCCTTTTCTTACATGTCAGCAAAACAAATATCCAGGGATTCCATTTGGAATAGTAATGTGCATGAATCAGTTTTAAGGCTTTAGCCAAGCCTCATGAATGAGTACAAGTCTGGAGTCATTATTTGTATGTTTGTTGAACCCTTTAGGTTGATGTAGACCTTGCTAAACAGAGCGCAGAGAAGCCTGAAGATGACGAGGCTCTGAGACGTAAACTATGGCTACGCATCGCCAAGCATGTCGTCTCTGAGAAGAATGACATCAAGAAAGCCATGGCGGTGCTCCATGAATGTCCTCTCCTAAAGATAGAGGATATCCTACCTTTCTTTCCAGACTTTGTGACCATTGACCATTTTAAGGTAAATTAAAGGATGTTGCAGTGATTTTAAAATTGCCCAAATGTTGTAAAAAATCATGATGGAAAACTTTGCTTAAAGTATTTTGGCATACATTAATTAGTATCAAAATTACATATTTTTTTTCAAATATGAATTGAGCAACTGGCAGTGCTTTAATTACCCCATTTGTTGTGTACAAATGAGGGCTTCAAATTGCACTCATATAAAGAAAGCCACAGATTCTTTAGAATGAAATTTTGCAAATATTTGCATAAACTCATCTAGCTCTCTAACAGACTATTACCAGTATGTAGATGCCCTTAAGCCTGATTTGTATTTTTTGTTTCACTTTGTTTTTAATGTTCATTTCATTGCTTAATATTTGATTGACGATTATTACTGATTATTTGTTATTCTTTACCACCTTTATAGGATGCCATTTGTAGTTCTCTACATTACTGCTGTTGATATTAAGCATCTTACTGAACTAATTATTTGTTATTCTGTACCTCCCCTGTAGGATGCCATCTGTAGTTCTCTAGCAGATTACAATCAACACATAGAAGCACTCAAAGCTGATATGGAAGATGCCTCAGAGAGCGCTAAGGCACTAAGATCTGACATCCAAGAGACTAGAAACAAGTCAGTAACAACTAATGATGATGGTGGTGGTGGTGGTGATGATAATTTTGATGATAAATGGTGATGGTGATGATGATGATGATGATGATGATGATGATGATGATGATGATGATGATAATGATTTTGATGCTGAGGATGAGGATGAGGATGAGGATGAGGATGATGATGATGATGATGATGATGATGATGATGATGATAATGATAATAATAACGATAATAATGATAATTATGATGATGATCATCATCATCATGCTTATGTTGTAGTGCTTATTCAACAAACTTGGTCCTAGCTAAGCTACTGCTTTCTGTACTCAAGACTTTTTAAGACCCATTTAATTTAACACCTGGGTGTAGAGTGGCAAATGTAGATGAAGAATGTCTTGCTGGAGGACACAAGGACTCAAACCAAAGATAATCTCATCTCCAGTCCTGTGTTTAAACCACTCAATTGCGATAGCTCTATATTTTACTTTAATTCAGTTCAGTAAAATCTGGCCCACAACCTTCAATTCAATTCAATACAATACAATTTCAATTTGTTTATTTCTAATTTGTTTCTTTAGTTAAAGCCCCACTGTACTACATGTAGCTACTTGCTCCCTCTGTATAGAAAACAATGCTTAATAGTTGCCTGTTTGTCCCCCATAATCCTCTTTTTCTTATGTTAATTGAGAGCTGAGTTGATGAGATAGCTACATGTCAGTGACCTAGATGGGTGGTTTTATCCCTCCTGTCCACACTAGTACAGGCGGCCTTGAAGAATGACATTTTTAAAGATTTGTTTTACTTTTTTCATATGATATTTGGCTTAGCCGACAGGATGATGAATTTTTTTATAAAACTCACCTGATTACAGTTTTAACTCATAGCTACTTTTTATGAGAATGTTACATTACACTGACTTTAAGTTTGACTCTTACCTCTATATCTTTCCCCTTCTCATCTCTTCACCTAGGTATGGTATTGTGAGTGGACAGCAGAAATGTGCCTCCTGTAACTACCCCCTGCTGACCCGGTCATTCTATCTGTTCCCTTGTGAGCACATGTTCCATTCAGACTGTCTGGTCACCGAGGTATGTATGTCCAATTGGTTCATCGGTCAGTAGTGGATTTTTATGAGAGGTGTTAGTCATCAAACCTGTATTCAAAGGCCACTTAAAGGGATCCGGTAACTTTGTCTCAGATTCTGAAACAAAATTCTGGATTTAGCTCATGATGCTATGATAATTATAAACTTTTAGGTCAGTCAGGAACCCCATGACTTTTACAAGCTGATCGCCTGTCTGATTATCAAGATATTTATGATTGGAATTACAAATTTTGAAAACCGTTCGCCTGACGGTTTTCATAACACTACAGTCTATTGGGGGAAACGAGTATGGTAAAACCGGTCACTCAAAGATTTTTACTTTTTTGAGGCACTTCTTGATCATTTTGAAGCGCAATTTTTTTAGGGCTTCAATATTTCACCATATCACAGACACTGATAACACGTAGGGTCGTGTATCTCAGATTTAACATTGTTAAACGATCCCTTTAAGTATGAAAAAGTTGGTTTTATTTTGTGCACTGGTGGTCCTTTAGTATAGGTTCCTTAAACTGAGAGAGACTGTCCATTTTGTTCTTCAGTCAGAAGTGGATTTTATGAGAGGCGTCTATTAAACCTGTATACAAAGGCCACTCAAGTATGGCAAAGTTGGTAATATTTGTGCACTGGTGGCGCTTAAATTGCATTATAAATAGAGGAGATGTCCAAGAATCGAATGAAATGCTCTCTCTCTCTTCTTTCGTCAGGTCCATCCTCATCTGACACCAGCAAAGAATATCCGCATTAGTGAGATCCAATCACAGCTCACGACCCTACATGGACAGCGCCCTCAGGGTTCATCCACATCTACGGAGGGCGCCACCAAGAGGGAGGAAATAGACAGGTTACGAAATGAACTTGATGACATCGTTGCAGCCGAGTGTGTGTACTGCGGAGAGATCATGATCAGGTGAGAATATTTTTTTTTTTTTTTCAAAGATTTATATTCCTCAAAGTGATTTTCAAATATGGTATTGTTTCCATAATACTGTTTACAAAGTACTCATACCCTTACCAAATTTTGTAATTATTTAAGTGTGTGAAAAATTTGTCCTGATTTATGTTTCTTGAGAATTTGACATACATATGTAGCAAATCTTACATCTGAAAGTATTCTACAAAGGACCCAATTGAACCAGTCCACCTTTCATTCTTGAGTTACGAAAACACAAAAATAACAAATTTACAAGGGGTATGAATAATTTAGTTGTTAACTGTGTATATTCATTAGTAAATTCATGTGAATCATCAATACTTCCAAGTTTTATGCCACAATTTCCCAGCACCCTGCTTATTTCTTTCATAATCTTTATTATACAACACCTACTAAGATTCTTGCAACCTCATTGGTCAATTCTTGATCACATGACATGCGCTAAAAGTACCATTAAACAGCATCATTCTCCAGCCGTGCAATTCCGTTTGATCCTTTCGCACCATTGCACTCTGACGTCACTAACGATATACAAAGTATATGGTGAGGTAAGTGACGTCGCCGTGCAATGGTACCAATGGATCAAACAGAATTGCACTCCGCGTCACAATAAACATAAAGCTTGGTACGCGAGGAGCATGGTATGCGCGTGCGTTGATGCCTGCTTAATAGTGCGTGCTCACTATTGGCAATTTCATCAATTAAAAATAAGTTTGATTATGGAGTACGTAGGTCAAAGGTCAAAGGTCATAGCTCATTAAATATGCGAAAAAATACACATCTGGTTTCTGATTGATAACTTTAGTAATGTTTGACGGATTTTAATGAAATTTGATATGAAGGTACATGGTATCAAAACACAGCCTAAGTTCAATTTCCGAGTATGTAGGTCAAAGGTCATAGCTCATTAAATATGCAAATCTGGTTTCCATTCGATAACTTGAGTAATGTTTGACAAATTTTAATATTTGATATGAAGGTTCATGGTATCAAAACACAGCCTAAGTTCGATTTCAGAGTATGTAGGTGAAAGGTGAAAGTTCATAGCTCATTAAATATGCAAAAACACCTAATTATATATGTGAAAATGTGGTTAACTTCCTTGCCTAATAATATAATAGAATAGTCCAATGGAGGTAACTTGTTCTGATGTATAAAGGCCATTTGTACCCTGCGAGGGGATGCTACGCTTTGCGTTGACTTGTTCTACTATTTTCATGTATCTGCCTCCTTGATGAAGACATGTTTCAATAGAATTCAATGTGTTGTTGTTATTCTTTCTCTCCTCCATTGTAGGTCTATTGACAAGCCGTTCATAGATCACGATGAGTACGAAGCAGTCATCAAGAGCTGGGAATGAATCACCATGGAAACCGATGAATAAGACTCTCCAAACATTTCCATAATTTGATTATCATGCTTTAAAATTAGTTCTTTTCCATATGTATCCTACATGTCAAATAGCTGCATACGTTGCATCTCTTTTGTCATGTTTAACTATTAATGATAATGAAGGTGGATTTATTAAACAATTTTTCCTGAGGATACAAAGGGCTGAATACTAGCTAGTATTTTACCCGAACATTTTTCATTTCAGGTAGAACGTAGAGGTGTTTTGGTCTAACGACACTAACGTCCTTTGGCAAGACGTTAGTCTACATTTGCCACTCTCCACCCAGGTGCTAAATTGGTACCCAGTAGGATGCGAACGTTAATGTAGTTTGCTCAGCATTGTGAGTGTCTGTAAAATGGCGCCTGGCTGGAATACTCCCCAGGGAGTGGAGAATGTGCACACATTGTGTGCGGGCGGGCTCGAGTCCGATGACCGGGTTAATAATATATCTGTAAAGCGCTTAGAGTAGTACTAGCTTAGAGTCATCACACATTAATCTCAGCTCTTTGCTTGGAGACTGGGTGTGGGTGCAGATTGTAGTGTATACACACAGTCCTAAGTTACGCAAGTGTGTAGTACAGGCTGCCATTTTGAATCCCAGGATGGTATCTAAATATTTTTTACTTCTCATTCATTTGATATTTCATTTGAAGAGGACACAACTTCACAGCAGCTTAGTATTGCTAGTATCTTCCTATTTATCATCTAAAATCAGAGAAATCTTTCATCATCTAAAATCAAAGAAATCTGACAAAAGGTTTTGAGGGCTTACCAAAACTATACATGACTTTTAAGGGTACATTTACTGAAAACATTCCTCGAATGCTCGAGCATCTTATCAGATCAATTTAGCTTAATCTTGGATGCTTTTATTGTGCTCTCTGTATCATCAAGGAACAGTGATTTCCAAAGCCAGTTATTATTATTATCATCATCATATACTTATAAAACTATATGCTAGCAATCAAGTGATGATGCAATATTGATATATGGATGCAATGAAGTCCTCTGTTTGATTGTGCTTGTGATACTACAAGTGAAGGGTAAAATGATACCCAGACATGATTATGCTTTTTCTTGTGACATTACATTTGCATCACTTCCTTCCTTTCCAATGTAATCTTTTTTATTTTAATTGTATCAACTATATTGAAATTGCATTTTCTTGGCAGACAAATATCCATGATACTTTGAGGTCATAATAGCTATACTGGCCATTTTTTTGTTTCAAAAATTGTTTAAAATTGAATGTTTGGTATGCTTGAAAAGAGTAAAAAACCTCATTCTAAAAAATGTACAGTTTTGTTATGCAATACCATGATAGAGAGAGAGAGAGAGAGAGATGAGCATTTGAAAGTTGGCATCGTGACCTTTTATTGAAAATATTGAACTTGCAAAAGTCCATGGCACAGGAAGAGTTCATTTTTAAATCTTTTTTTCATGGCATAACAAGCAATTTAAATCTTTAACAAGATAAATTCACATTGGGCCACCTTTCCATATCAATAATTTTTAATGAGATTTTCCTTGCACAATCATACAAATACAAATGTGAAGAGAAGGTTGTCAAGAATTATATTTTCTGGTATAACTGTGCTTCTTTGATGAAATTGGCCGCTTGTAAATTTTATATGGGTTCTGTAATGGTTTTTGATGCACTAATTACCTCGCTAAGGAAAGTTCCTACTATCTACTACATTATAGTAGGCCTAAATCCGTCTGATGAAGTAATTTCATCTCAAAATATGTGCAAGTAATTCGACTGTGTAGACTACTAATCACATGCGTATACTGATATAATTATGTTATTGAACCTTTGATACAATGTTATCACAAATGTGGTTATATATATATATGATGAAACTCTTGGGAGTTTGTATATAGTTTTCTTGCCATCGTTATCTGTTAATGTATCAGTGTAGAATAAAAAAATATATTGATGGAAGAAATATACATGAACTAAGAACAGGTAATACTTGAGTGTGAATCATTTTGTTGTTTAACTGTTTTAGATGATAGACTAAGACAAAAAAAGGGAGAAAATGTGTGATAAAATGAAAGAGAGAGAGAGAAAGAGAGAGAGAGAGAGAGAGAAAGAGCAAAAGTGGGATTTTTTATTTACATTAACAAGCTACAAGCTCCTTCAAATCTTAAGTCCACTGGAATCAGCATTTAGGGTTTATATTAGTTTTTAATCACACTTACACTTTCCAACTGTCTTTCTTTATATTCCTCTCTCCCTAAAGATATCTACTTGTTTCTTCCCTTCTCTCTCTCCACTCTCTTTATCTTCTTTCAAACTGAACACAGGTACTCTCTCAATGCCCTCCCTCTCTCTCTCTCTCTCTCTCTCTCTTTCCCTCTCTCTCTCCCTCTCTCTCTCCACTCTCTTTATCTTCTTTCAAACTGAACACAGGTGCTCTCTCAATGCCCTCCCCCTCTCTCTCTCTCTCTTTCCCTCTCTCTCTCCCTCTCTTTACCCTTTCAAACTGAATGCAGAATGCTCTATGTTTGCTCACTATCTTCCAATTTTCTCCTCTCATTTTTCAAGATAGGATATAGTACAATGTTTTTTTAAATCATGGGCAAGTCCAGAAAATGCTAAAAAACCAAAATTTGTAATTGTATTACTTATTTCTTATAAATTGTGATAAAACATTACTATTTACAATTGGGATTTCAAAAAATGTTTTAAAATGTTTGTCAAAATCAAATTATCTGAGGAAGATAACATATAATCTTTCACAAAATTTCAATTAATATCAACAGTGATCGATGCAGGCACCAAGAACAAAAATAAAATTGATGTCCTTTTCTTAAATTATGAATGGTTAAAATAGCAGTAGCAATCACAAAATACATCATTCAAATAACCAGGGTGAATCATGAAACACAGTGTAACATAAAATATGAAATACCTCAGCCCATATTTATATTTGTTTTTCTTCTGTCTCTCTCTCTAACCCTTAAATCTCTTTGTATGGACAACATAGGGTCATAGCTTACAGGTCAGGGTCGAAAACACTTTACAGTGCAACATTGAATACCGGTAATAAAACATAAAATTACTTCAGGCTATATCTAGACATATTTTGGCTGTCTCTCTAACCTTAAAATTTCTTTGAACAGACAAAAAAGGTTGCATGTCTCAGATTGGGGTCAATACATTTTTGTTCCCAGGAGCTTTTTGAAATTTGCCGTACTGAGAGTGAGATTTCCTCTCTGCTATTTGTCATGTATTTGTTTTTTTACAAGAGCTCTTTAGAGCTTTTCAGAGCTAAATCACTTACCGCTCCTGTGTTTTTGTAGGTTTGTTTTATAATAGATGAGTGTAGAGTTGTAGAGAAGAATTAACTTTCTGCAGATCGCTTTGCAACTTCCAAACAAACAAAAAACAAACAAAAATCACAAATCAGAAAGACAGCGAGTTCAGAGGGATAAACAAAAAAATTCTATGTAGACTCTGCCTTAAATGATACATTGTACAGAAATATACTATCAAGAGGAATTTTGTATTTCTAGAAGATACGATTTCATATTTTCATTTTTTTAATGAAAAGGTAAAATATCACATTTTAATGTATTAATTGTTAGATATCTATATGTTTGTGAAATAGGAAGACATTTGAAAAGTCTTTATACAATTATTATGTAGTAAAGTGAATAATAGCGTGTGGAAACAAGTTAGCTGGTCATGCTTCTAAAACTGATTGAATTTCAGTGGGATATGATTAGCAAAAAAGCAGCCAGTGTGTTCCTCAGAAAGCATGGAGAATAGTTGAAGCATATCTGATACAGAACTCTCTGGTGTTCTGGTGGCAGTCGGTCCACCCATGTCAGTCGAGGCCCAGCCTGGGCACTGCGATAGGACCAGGATCTTGTCTGCTTTCAGTTCTAGGCTTAGATTTTTGGAGAACATGTTGAGAGCAGCCTATAACAAGAGGAAACATAAGAGCATGATGAGATAGATAGTGAAGGGTAGTGAAAGGCAGAGAGTTTGTGAGGAATAGAGAGAGATTGAGAGGGAATGAGGAAGAATGATAGAGATAGGGAAGGCAGAAAGAAGGGGAGAGAGAGGGAGAAAGAGGGAATAAAAAGAGCAAAGGAGACAGTAAGAGAGAGACACCACAAGAAAGATATGATGGGAATGGAAAGATGAACAACTGCTTAAAGAGAGAAAATAGAAGGACTGCATCAAACTTTCAAGGGATTACTTCCAATATAATCCTGTTTTATCTGTTTATATATTTGACCCCAAAAAAAGTCTAACTTGGGTCCAGGAATTGAGATGTGCACAGCCATTCATGTTGAAAGCCTTAATAGCCTATTCAAAAAATATAATTTTTTCCTCCAAAATGCTGAACCACCCCGGCCCTTACAATTTCGGCCCGAAAGTTGTGATAATTCAAATTTTTACAATATTTGCCCCTACGCCCCTTTGAAAGGGATATGGGGGTCAGGATCCATCTAATGGCATGTACGTACATTCATTGTGGGGAAACTAGCCTAAAAAAAAAATTCAATATTTTCCTCGAAAATGCTGAACCACCCCGGCCCTTACCATTTCGGCCCGAAAGGTGTGATAATTCAAATTTTTATAATATTTACCACTACGCCCCATTCAAAGGGATATGGGGGTCAGGATCCATCTAATGGCATGTTTGTACATTCATTGTGGGGAAACTAGCCTATTCAGAAAATATAATATTTTCCTCCAAAATGCTAAACCACCCCAGCCCTTACAACTTTGGCACGAAAAGTTGTGATAATTCAAATTTTTACAATATTTTCCCCTACCCCCCTGTCAAAGGGATATAGGCATTAAAATCCATCTAATTCAATGTATGTACTTTCATTATGGGGAAACTAGCCTATTCAAAAAATATAATTTTTCCTCCAAAATGCTGAACCACCCCGGCCCTTACAACTTCGGCCCGAAAAGTTGTGATCATTCAAATTTTTAAAATATTTGCCCCTACCCCCCTGTCAAAGGGATATAGGCATTAGAATCCATCTAATTCAATGTATGTACATTCATTATGGGGAAACTAGCCTATTAAAAAAATATAATATTTTCCTCCAAAATGCTGAACCACCCCGGCCCTTACCATTTTGGCCCGAAAGTTGTGATAATTCAAACTTTTACAATATTTGCCCCTACGCCACTTTCAAAGAGATATGGGGGTCAGGATCCATCTCATGGCATGTATGTACATTCACTATGAGGAAACTAGCCAATTAAAAAAAAAAAATATTTTCCTCCAAAATGCTGAACCACCCCGGCCCTTACCATTTCGGCCCGAAAGTTGTGATAACTCAAATTTTTCAATATTTGCAACTACGCCCCTTTCAAAGGGATGTGGGGGTCAGGATCCATCTAATGGCATGTATGTACATTCATTGTGGGGAAACTCGCCTAATAAAAAAAATTAATATTTTCCTCCAAAATGCTGAACCACCCCGGCCCTTACAACTTCGGCCCGAAAAGTTGTGATCATTCAAATTTTAAAAATATTTGCCCCTACCCCCCTGTCAAAGGGATATAGGCATAAGAATCCATCTAATTCAATGTATGTACATTCATTATGGGGAAACTAGCCTATTCAAAAAATATAATTTTTTCCTCTAAAATGCTGAACCACCCCGGCCCTTACCATTTTGGCCCGAAAGGTGTGATAATTCAAATTTTTATAATATTTACCACTACGCCCCATTCAAAGGGATATGGGGGTCAGGATCCATCTAATGGCATGTTTGTACATTCATTGTGGGGAAACTAGCCTATTCAGAAAATAGAATATTTTCCTCCAAAATGCTAAACCACCCCAGCCCTTACAACTTTGGCAAGAAAAGTTGTGATAATTCAAATATTTACAATATTTTCCCCTACCCCCCTGTCAAAGGGATATAGGCATTAAAATCCATCTAATTCAATGTATGTACATTCATTATGGGGAAACTAGCCTATTCAAAAAATATAATTTTTTCCTCCAAAATGCTGAACCACCCCGGCCCTTACAACTTCGGCCCGAAAAGTTGTGATAATACAAATTTTTACAAAATTTGCCCCTACGCCTCGTTCAAAGGGATATAGGGTTCAGGATCCATCTAATCGCATGTATGTACATTCACTATGAGGAAACTAGCCAATTAAAAAAAAAAAATATTTTCCTCCAAAATGCTGAACCACCCCGGCCCTTACAACTTCGGCCCGAAAGTTGTGATAACTCAAATTTTTCAATATTTGCCACTACGCCCCTTTCAAAGGGATGTGGGGGTCAGGATCCATCTAATGGCATGTATGTACATTCATTGTGGGGAAATTCGCCTAATAAAAAAAATTAATATTTTCCTCCAAAATGCTGAACCACCCCGGCCCTTACAACTTCGGCCCGAAAAGTTGTGATCATTCAAATTTTTAAAATATTTGCCCCTACCCCCCTGTCAAAGGGATATAGGCATAAGAATCCATCTAATTCAATGTATGTACATTCATTATGGGGAAACTAGCCTATTAAAAAAATATAATATTTTCCTCCAAAATGCTGAACCACCCCGGCCCTTACCATTTCGGCCCGAAAGTTGTGATAATTCAAACTTTTACAATATTTGCCCCTACGCCACTTTCAAAGGGATATAGGGTTCAGGATCCATCTCATGGCATGTATGTACATTCACTATGAGGAAACTAGCCAATTAAAAAAAAAAAATATTTTCCTCCAAAATGCTGAACCACCCCGGCCCTTACAACTTCGGCCCGAAAGTTGTGATAACTCAAATTTTTCAATATTTGCCACTACGCCCCTTTCAAAGGGATGTGGGGGTCAGGATCCATCTAATGGCATGTATGTACATTCATTGTGGGGAAACTCGCCTAATAAAAAAAATTAATATTTTCCTCCAAAATGCTGAACCACCCCGGCCCTTACAACTTCGGCCCGAAAAGTTGTGATCATTCAAATTTTTAAAATAT